GATGCATTGGCCGCCGGGCCTAAAAACGGAATTTGAAAGCACCAAAGCCGGCGACCTGTCTATGTGTGTCCACCCCTGGACAAAGGGTTCTAAAGCACTAACGGTTTCAGCCACCTTTCACCGGAATCCCACTGGAAGTCACTTGCACATCCACCGAATCAATGGCCGCCGGGCCTCACCACGGTACTCCCTCAGTCTACAGTGATTGCATTCTTTCGGCATGATCTTCATGTTGCTGCTAAGTATTCACATGTCCATGTCATGCTGCTAAGTATTCACAGGCCGGACAGGCCTCCCTGCCCCTGGGCCTCTGTTGCTATCCCACCCGCTAATCGAGCAACAGAAGGAAATCGCACTCAACACACTTGTGTGTTGGTGCCTTTCCTTCTGTTTCTCCTATCTATTGCCAGCTACCCGAGCGGTCTAAGACCAGAGTCCCGCTCGCGAACTACTTTCATTTAACTAAGTTGGCCTCGTCACTATACCTATCTTTCCTTCTTGCCCTCTTAGTCTGCTCTTGTTTTGTTCTCTTTGTCTGTCTTTCTAAGGCTTTTTAGGTGACTAGTAGTCTTCCGGAACGCCAATATTGGCGTTATGTGTACAAAGTTGTTGCCAGCAGACCGCTACTAGGAGCAAAGACGGTACTACTATAGGGGCCTCTGACCGTTTTTTTGCAAAGAAAACGGCGCCGACTACGGCAATTTGTGTGTGTCACCCCCTGTTCCGAAGGGACCACCGAGTTTCGAGTCACAAAGGACGCTACTAAGGCCCCCCCGGTTTCGCTACTAAGGGCTCCTGGTATCGCTATTAGCGCGCAGCTTGTCAATTGTTTAACATGTTCAAAGCGCACAAAAAGAAGCAGGGGGCCACTCCACCCACCACCAGGGAGTGGCCAACGAAGAGCCTGGTGGTGTGGTGCTGAAAACGTACCTGCATTTTTTCCAATTTTAATTTTTAAGTGCGTTTGGAAAACCATGTTCAACCATACTGTTTCAGCTGACTTTTCCACCTTGCGGTTCTTCGCCATCCTTCCCATCGTGGTAACTGAGTTAACTGAATACAATTGTCAGAGTGTGTGTGTGTGTGGTTTCTTTTGATTTCTTTTGCGTCTGATCATTTTGGAGGATTACTGTAAGTCCTGCATAGGGAACACCCCAGGACTGTTAGGTCAAAGACCGAGGGAGGCGGCGAGATTCTGAGCTTCTAGTTTAGGAAGTCAACGGATCAAAGGGAAATCCCCAAGTCCAAGATTCCTGACTTTGGGCAGGAGGCTTGGACCATTTGGGGGTTGTTGGCTTGGGGAAGACATCGTGTTCGTCGCATGCCCCACGCCGGAGACGTGCGATGGGTGCCGGCACCGAAGGCAGTGGTACAGAGTGACCTCTTCATCGTGAGGCAGGCAAAGCTCCAAGTTTTGAGAAGAATTCCTATTGGTTTTGAAGATGAAGCGTGCACCTCCTGGTGTAGTGGCGGGAAGTTTGACTTCTACTGAATCTGAATACCACTGAATGACACCCCTCAAAATATTGGCCAGAACAAGGTTTCGTGACGAATCATACCTTCAAATCATCGATGGTGCCCGACTACAATCATCCCAGCCCGACTACGGTAAAAACACACATCAGTTATTAAAAATTAACCTGTGAATTATGTTCAAACATGATATCCCTGCCCCTTGTTTCAAACATGATATCCCTGCCCCTTGTGTTCAATCACCAATGCCATGCCATAGAGTCATACCCATCAGAAGAAGTGGCTTTCAGAGAGACCTCAGGTGCTTGGATAACATCCTGAGCCTCATCTTCAAGGAGGACGAGTGGCACATGCTGGAAAGATGCCATGAAAGTCAGCATGGGTGATCAATCAAGGATACGCATTGTGCCTACAAAACTGAACACCGGGGCACATTTTTACATGTTTTTCGACGTTGGTCATGTCATGGCATGGTGCCATGGCATGTCGACGCGGCGGTAATTTGCGTCGTTGACTCGCAAGTCTGGGACATTGACTGATTCAGCAACGAACCGAATCAGCAACTACGATTCAGCAACTATGCAAATCAGCAACCATGCTTCAGTGACTCTCGGAATCAGCAACCACGCATCAGCAACCAAACAGTACGATTCAGCAATCACGCATCAGCAACCAAACAGTACGATCCAGCAACCACGCTTCAGCCGCTACACGATTCAGCAGCCACGCTTCAGCCACTACGCGATTCAGCAGCCAAAATTACCGATGCAGGTACGGTTCAGGCACGCTGTGCCCATTCGCTCGCCCTGTTCGTCTTGTTTGTGAAAAAGAGATGAACGCAGAGCTTGACTGGGGAGCAAACGCATGAAACACGTGGACATGGGCTGTGTCACGAAAAAGCCTTTGTCTCAAGCAATGCACAAAGAACAACCTATTGAACAACCTATTGTGTTGTCCGATGCGTTTGACATGACAAGCCTGAAAAATGGGTATGGTTTCCAATCTGTACGGCTGTTTGTGGCGTTTATTTGCCTATGGGAAGTTGTCCCTCGACCAGTTTGGAATGAAAGGGTTTTGATCCCAGGATCTCTGAGTGAAGCACCAGCTTGGTGAGAATAGGCCCCAAGCCAGTTCTCAAACCAGAGAGTGTAGCAGCAGTGCGATGGCCTCACAAGTACATTGTAATGGCTTAGTAACACTGTTCTCAAATCAGGGGTGGAGAACTATATCAAGCTGTGAAACTGCCAGAGGTCGCCATCTCAGTCTATGACCGCAGACATCTCTCATACCCCCCACTATTTGCAGACATTTGTTCGGTTTCGGAGTTGCTTCTCCGAATCTCTCCAGGAAGGCTTTTCCATGGCCTGGGCCATTGATGAATTCGAGAAGACCGTGTCCACCGAGTTGGACTTCCGCGAAGAAGCCCAACATGCAGGCGACCACGTAGTGCGCGGTGGTGGGCCGGGCCGAAAGACGACATGCACCGATGCGGAGGACTTTGGGTGAGACCTAAGGCTTGGACACCATCATGGCATGGCACCATCGTTCCATAACCATTCGGCAAGACGGTGGACCTTCAACCCCAACATATAGTATTATACAACATAATTATAGTAACTTATTCATTTGCCCCCATGTGAGTAACGGACTATATATATAATGTATGAGGATAATATATATAAACTCGTACTCAAATATTCTCAGCATCCCATCCACAAGTGCCCATTCCAGCAACTTGCCAGATCGTTGCCGCGCCTTCTTCCGTGCGCATCGTGGTAGCGGAAAGCTTCGCGGCGGGCGCATCGTGGTGCCCGGAATTCACCACGACCTCACAACGCAGCGGGTGCTGGTCATGGACTTCTCCCGCGGGCTGCCCATCGCGCGGCTGACTGCCGCGGTGCGGAAGTGCCGCGAGGGAGGAACGACCGAGTTGACCTGGGAGGAGGAAAGAGCTGCAGAGGCGCGGCTGATGGCAGGAACTGTGAACGCAGAACAGGATCAATCCAAGCGTGGGGGGTTTCTTAACTTGGTGTAGGAATTCTTCCCTGGAGCGTCAGGCTGAGCCTAAACCCTCCAGTGTCTCACAGTGCTACCTTAAAGATCCTCGAAGACCGTTGTGGCCACCCATCACTAATTGCAGGAATTTGGGGGATGCCTCGTTAGTCATTCTGTGCCTGGACAACAATGCCACTGAGGGGTTAACTCTGTACAGTGGACAGCTGGTTAATGTGTTTCAACCGCCCAAGCTGTGTGCCTGCTCAGGCCCATATGTTTTTGACCACCCAGACGGGCAAAGTGAGACATCTTGGGAGTCCAAACGACTTGTGGTCTATGCCCATACTGGGCTACTTCCTGTCGCCCATACCAGCTACCATCTTCCATACCACCTGTGGGTTTCCACCCCACCGGCACTGCCGTGCCGCGCTGAGGCGGCGCCCGAGGCCGCGCGGCTTCTGGCCGAGGCCTTTGGGGCCATGTGCTTCTCAGAGGGCTTCCTGCATTGCGACCCGCATCCAGGGAACCTCTTGGTGGAACTTCCGCAGGTGACGGATGAGAGAGGATTGGGAGGGTGGCGGGTTGTGCTATACTCATCATGCTGGAGAATCCGCTGCATACATTCTTTCTCTCTCTTCCCCGGAAGCAGTGTGGTGAAGAAATGATTTTCAGCCACTCCTTGCAGATGTTTGCGTTCCTCGGATCTGCCGCCAGGCCGCCGAGGCAGCTGCGTCATCTGTGCGGCTGGTGATTCTGGATCATGGGTTGTACTGCGAGCTCTCCAACGATCGGCGGCAAGCGATGTGCGAGCTGTGGGAGGCCATGATCCTACAAGACTCGAATCAGCTGACACTCGGCGGCGCGCGAGATCGCGACGCGGTAGGCGCAGGGGCAACGATAGCTCCTCACTTTCTGAAGTTGCTCAGAACAGCCGCGTTCCTTCGCCGGATCGCCCAGGATCTCCAGTAGCCACCGGCTGGGGATTGATGAGGCCACCGCCGAGTTGCTCCCGCTGTATTTCACCAATCGCTCCATGTCGACCTATGCAGGTGAGGGACGCACGCGGCGAGGGACGGGGCTGGCTCCAATTCCAGGAGGGTTTTCGCAGGGCATCAAGTTCATTGGGTCCAATGAGATTCTGTATCACTTACTGTAGATAGGTTTTCAAAAGGCAGGTGAACTTTGTAGTTGAGCTTATTGGTAAACAAAAGTGAGACCCGGAGCAAGTCAGAGGAACACGAACAATAAGACGCCTGATCTGTCTATCCCAACACCCTGCCAACTAGCCATCACCCCCCTTCCATGGCAGGCCTGGGGCAGCCCATCACACTTGAGGAGAAGGACAGATTGAAGCAGCAGCTCCTGGAATCAGGTGGCCACCGGGCGGGAGAGCGACGACATCGGTCTGGTCATGGCGCAGTGCTGGGTGCTAGGCCAGCAAAAGCACGGTTAAGCACTATCTCGTTGGGGCTTTTTGATCTTCTTGCTGGGTCTCTTTCAGGAGTACTAAATGATGCTGGATATGCTAGGATGACTGTCATCCTCCTCGCCGCATGGTTTTGTCAGGATTTCCGGACCCCGGCAGGTTTGCAGCATGGCTGTTGCCCACAACCCCAAGGTACAATATAGGTAACAATTCACAATTTGATCGTGCATTTCCCATGCAGCACATCAAAAAAAATCCATCTGAGAACCTTGGATTTGGATCTTGCGGAAAGTGTGCTCCAAGATGGGCTTCCAGAGAACTAGTGAAGCTGCTAGTGACTAGTGAAGCCAATTCCTCATCTACCTGGCCAGGTGTGCTTCCTGAGGGTGGAGGTTCGGTCGCGATGGCTGGGCTAGCCCTGCTAGCAGACCGCCTCCCTGCAGACTTTCTGATGGTGATGAGGCCGGTTTGATCCGCTTTGAATATTTGCGCGTGCATGCAAACATATCTATATAGGGTCTATCCTGATACCTGTAACAGTCAGTAGACAATTAGACATTTATCACCATTTTTTGAACAAGGCCTTCACTAACCATCAACATCCACTGTTACAGGTAATAGGATAGACTCAATATCTAGATCTCCCTTTGGAAGCAGTCGCTGGTTCATGGTGTGGTCGGGGTTGGCGGGTGATAACAGGTTCATTGAGAACCCCGTCAGCCTTCATTGAACCTTTGCTTCGCGTGTGTATGGTGGGTTTTTGGCGTTATGTAATGTAATGTCTACTTGTTTGCTCAGGACCAGGAATGGAATTGACCAAGCTTGTGAACCACGAGCATAGCATAGCTGCTCATCTTGCTGTAAATGATTTTTCCCCAGTTTGAAGTGGAACCGGAGCCGGCCCCTGTTTCAAAACATCGTGTAGGACCATGCATTTGGTGGCCGCTCTCCATCGTGACCTGGGGGGCACCGCTGCGGAGCGCTTCGCTTGCTATGCGGCGGCTGCTTCGCACGGGCGATGGGAGAGGACGGGGTGGGAGTTGTGTTTTTTTGAGTTTAAATAAACGCAGTATATATATACATATAGAATTTGTTCACAACATATGAACCTGACCTATCCAGTATGCATCTCATGAACCACATCCAGGAAGACCAGATTTTTCCTCGGCTCGAACGTTTCCTCGGCTCGAACGAGAGGACCGGTTGGATGAACGCATGGTTCCAGCCACGCCTCTTTCACCTGCGCTGGAGCCTCAAAGAGGCCCGGATCGCTTTCGCATCGGAGCGCCTGGGATGGGCCGCCCCTCAAAGGAACATGATGAAGGGAAAGGATCTGGACACATCATGAAGTATCTGCTCAATTGGAACGGACAAGTGGCTGAAGATGCTGAAGTGGGCTTCAAACATCTTCAAACGGTTTCAACTGCTTTCAATGGCTCTGCGACGATTTGTTGGTGCCAGGGCATTGTGAGTCGTGAAGTGCTCAAGCTTTTTTTTATTTTTTTGGGGGGTGAAGACGGAGCTTAGCACAATCTAAACACATCTAAACCTAGGCTGCCATCGGACCCCGATTGGGTCCCGCACATCATAGATACAGTTGAAGGGAGTGCCCACGTGAACATCGTAAACCTCGGCATGAAGCTGCACTGCAGGAGGCTACCGCCAGCAGCAAGGGGATGGACCATGGTGTCAGAGAGGTTTCGTTGGGTCCTTTTTCGCTGACTTGACACGCCACCGGCGATCAACATGCCCCAGACAATGGTTGCGACCCACTTATTACGCCGACGGTGGATTGGACTGGGGGCTTTGGCGTTGGGATGCTTTTGGGCCATGTTCTGGCCCTTCAGGCCGGGATGAAGCTCCACGCCCCACATGCGGGACGTGAACACTTCTCCATTGCGCGATGCCTGGCTGAGCTCGGGAACCAGCGAGGAGAAAAAGCAGCGGCCGATGCGCTTCACTCCTCGGCCGGTCTCGCTGGTCACTCCTCGGCAGTTCGCTGCGTTCCGGACTTGTTAGGCACGTGAGCTGGTTAGCCATCCTCCAAACAGAATAGACCCAGCTGGGCCTACTCCACCATGCCCGTGTTGTTCGAACGTTTTGAACGTAGGAAAGGGCGCAGGAATTCCAGGGTGTGAACCCATGCATAGCTTGGAAAAAATTGGTGCGCATGTTCGCCCAATAGATATGGACACTGTGCAGTTGAGTTCCCATAAAGGGTGTAAATGGTTCCCCTGCGCAAATCTTCCTAAGATGGCAGTGCCAACTGCAATTGTTCAGAATGGCGTGGATGATTCTGTGAGTCACTCATGGCTGCTGCTGCTACTGCTACTGCTACTACTACTCCTCCTGCTGCTACTGCTACTGCTACTGCTGCTGTGCTTAAATATGGGCGAAAATAGCACCCACTTGCTAACCCACTCTGAAACACGCAGGACAAACAAATTGTATTCCTTTAAGGGCATATGAATTGACAGGCTACGTCCAAATACACGATCTCTAGCAATCACTCCCCTCAAGAAAAGGTATCCGAGACCAACCACTTTTGTACTGTACTACCCGGAGGGAATGGACAACCATGGTGTACCTGGACCCTGCAACATGTTCTTTTCTGGTGTTCTATTTTTTTCATCCACCAACTAGTGCCCTACTTTTAAGTTCTGATGCTCCATTTCCTAGAAGAGTCCACGTCACCCACTAGCTTTCAAGAGCAACGCATCTTGTGGGTCTGTATGCTTTCCTACACTTTTCTCAGGTTCTTTTGAGGGTGGGTTCAGCGGTTGCTCTCAAGAGGGACCTAACAGTACAAGACCATCAACGGGTGTCCATGGTGTCCAATGCACACCCTACTAGACTGGCTTTCCATAGTGCACCGGTCGGATGGTGTTTTTTTGTGTCTTTTTAAGGGGAGGCACACCCTGGCGCTGGCTGGGTAGACTCTATATAAATATAAATATATATATATACGCGTCTATCTATGTCTATGTTCATTTCCCGAACCTTCCAGGGGGAGGCCATCGCTACTAGGTTGGAGGCCATCGTCTCGGTCTGCCTCTTTTGAGCTACACACAGGCCCTGAGCTCGCCGCGGGGCGAGATGTCGGAGCTCAAGCGGCAGCTGGACACTGCCACGCAGTTGGGAGAGCTCGGTGAAATGGTCTCGTCATATTGAAGAGATCTGTGGGATTCTTGGATGTCCCCGGAACATCCCGGAACCATTGGAAAACATGGGGCCAATTCAGACTCCTCAATGCCATTTGTCTTGAAGATGTGTGAGGTTGTGGCGAAAACGGGGACAGGGATTAGGCACATCGCTGCTTTGCAGCGGGAGGTGGGACTCTGTTTGATTCATGTTGATTCTAGCCATTGCTGCGAAATGATTTGCGGCTGTGCGTGGCTGTAGTCATGAGTTTCCTTTGAGTCTGGCGGTGTTCAATGGCATTGTCACGTTCTTTCTGTTAGCGAAGTGGGTGACCTGTTTGAAGCCCCTGAGGCAGGGCCGACGCCAAGAGCAGCGGTTGCGACAGCCGGCAGCTCAGGGAGAATGCCGCTCGTTCCGGGGGGGATGATGTGGATGCGTGCCATTCATAGACCGTGTGCAGATACTTTCAGTACGCCAAGTACTTGGCTACATCAATGATACATCTGAAGCCCATGGCTACGGGACACTCCGGCGTGCCAGGCACCGAAGCTCCTTGCGCGAACTGCTGCGGCAACTGGAGGAGTCTGCGGAGTCTGCGGGGCGGTGAGTGAAACGACCGGGGCCGATCCGGCGAAAAAGAGAGCGACCGATGCCAAAGAAAAGGAATGGAATGTAGATCGGTCGATGCACAAAATGTTGGAGGGTAAAAAAGCAAAACATCTCCAAATATAGGGGGCTTTTATGCATCAACTGCCTTCTTCGGGCCATGTTTGGTCGTTTTCCGCATCACCATGCCGCCAGGAGGTGGAAGAGAGGGTCAGTGTGGTCGGGGCTCCCAGAAGAGGACTGAGAGCATGGCCTGCAAGGTATGGGAGAGGCCGGTCAGTTTTGGGGAGGGTATATTTGGTAATATCTGGAAGCTTTTCATTTCTTTAAAACAACTCCAGCAAGTGGCATGCCTTTTGTTGCCAGCGGCTTTGCATGTTGAAAAATCAGTGATCGTGATCTATTTGACGAATCCAGCAAGGAAGTGCCATCAAGCGATCAAGTAGAGACCTCAATTTCTTTTGGACCCCCCTTGAACCCACTGGACGCATCATGAAGGGGGCATGACCCGTAGATATACCTCTCCAACATGACCCACAGGGGGTTTTCCATGCTCGAAGACCGTCCCTGACCCGGTCTCCGAGTTCGCTCCAGCGGTGGGTGGTCTCCGTCAGGTCCAGCGCCGCGTGGAGACGGTGAGCCGTAGCATCACTCGTCGGGACGCCGGGTGGGCGACGCGGTGGGGGGCCCAGAGGGGCCTCGGAATCAGACGCTGGGGGCCTGGGTTTACATGGCAGAATGTGATTGTTTACACCAGGAGTCACCAGGGTTTTGCCAATTTTTATGGCCTAGTAGATGCCGATGTCATCAACTGGCCAGAGCCGTTCTACAATGTTCTACACTTTTTGCGGCAGGAATATGGGTGAAGTTGTGATGTCTGGCAGGTTTTGGGCGAGGCAGGCTACCTGGCTACCAAAATCGTAGGAGACCATGTGCCCCATGACGATCCATCGCGTGAGAACGCCAGGCCAATACGTGAGAAGAAAGACATAGACATACATACTAAGACCGACCTGAGAAAAGGCACACGAACAGCTTCACACTCCAGTTCTACGCACACGCATATACATATATATGCGTGTACATGTTTAGTTTGTACTGTCCTAAACCTATGGAAATTCTCCATGGTCCAACTTACACAGCCATCAGCATCACCAGCAAAGCACCCCTTGTTCTTCCCAGGCTCGGCGGAAGCCGTGGAACACCAGGAGCGCCGGGCCACGAACCTGGATCAGCTGGCGCGGGAGCCGAGATGAGCCGAGATGAGCCGAGAGCCGTGCCAGGCAGTCATGGGTTTTTGGCATGAAATGATGACACTACCCCTAATAGCTTCTTGTTACTACTAGTAAGGCACTTGTTACTACTAGCGATGCACCTGTTACTACTAGCATTCTTGTTACTACCCGCTTGAGAAGGGCTGATTTTATGACATCAACTCCTGCACAACCTTTTGTGTTGCGCCATACAACGGGTAGATGAAAGCATATGACAGGAACAAGAAACGGTCGAGTTGGAGTGAGATGGACCCATGGCGGTTCCGACATGAAATGCCGGTGCATCACCATTTGATGTGCCGGGTGGGAATCGCAGCATTCTTGTTAGGGATTTGTGTGGCACACAGGAACTCTTACTACCGTTCAAGAGGTCGCTGCGTTCCCTGGCTTTCCACCTCAGCACCCGTCTCTCCGACTCCGTGCGGTCCGACCAGTCCGGTCCGATGTCGGGATGGCATGAGTGCTCAAAGAAACGGGATCACCCCAAACACATGAACCATACCGAACTCTATTGTGTGCCATGACTTGCGGACATGCCGATCCTCGCGCTTGCGCCCGTATCCCTCGCTACTGGTACTCTTTCGTAGTGGGTGTAGGGGGTCTACATGAACTATATACGTGCTTACTATAGCAAGAGTCAAGAGTTGTCCAAACTTCGTAGCCCCTTGTTACGTGGAATCTGCTTCGCGCATGCGCTCTGATGCGCTCTGCAGCCGCAGGCGAACACCTCGGCGCTGAAACGCTCGGTGCTCAGCTGGCGAGCTTTCTGTGCAGCCCCAATGAATGCAAACACATGCAGCCTGAAGATGCCTGAAGTGAAGGTCCCAGGGGTCATTGTGTCATGCGCACCTGTTGTCAACTAAGAGGTGGCCCTCATGTGACATGGTGGCCTTCATGCATCAAGTTTCTTCCCAAAGGATGACAGATTCGTAGATCCTTTCAAACAGAACTTAAACAACATTGACTTCCTGGCAACCTCGGACTCTGGCAACCAGGTGGTGCCACTGCAGCCTTGACCTTTGGATCTCCAGAGGCCAAGAGCAGCGGAAGCTGGAAGCCTCAGGGAATAGGCGCCAAAAGTTAAAAGGATTGACATGGGGCCGATGTGCACACACACACACATATATAACTTTTCAACAGAACCCTTTTGGAAATCGTGCGGATCCGAGTGGAGAAGGTACTTCATATAGTATTTTGTAAAGACTCCTGCGGTGGTGGATTTCTATCGACTTTTTATGCCCTTCTTGGTGAAAATTCGTTCGCTTTGAAGTAGGAGTTCAACTCCCCTAAAGCCTCACTTGGACTTGATCCCCACCCAGTATGGCATTTAAGGCAAGACAAGTGCTTGAGACCCAGCTACAAAACGAGCACTCAATGAGAGTCTTGTGGTGCATGATGCTGATGCTGGATATCATCCTTCATGACGAGAGGAAACCCCCGCAAGTGGATGAGAGATGGTGAGTCCTTTGGGTGAGTCCTTTGCAGTGCAAACCCGTTGGGCAGCCGAAAGAGGCACGATCTCCTGGGACGGATTTGTTGCGACAACTGAGCATCAGCTGCTGTTCAACATTTGGTCTATGTGTGGATAGTCTGAAGGTCTGTGGCGATTCCATGACTATCCCCAGTTGTTGCCATGCGGCCCTGCACTGAGGAGTTCTTGATCTTGGGGTCGATGAGAAGCTGGAAGAGCTTGAAAGGCGATTTTGAGGGGGCTATGACGTCCGCAGATGGGGGCATCGGCGGCATCGACGTCGACGGTGCAGCTAGATAGCCAAAGCCCAGTCTGACCTTGCTAGACTGTTTTGGATGAGGAATCCTTTTTGGGTTACGAACGGTTATGAGCAGAGGCGAGATACAGCTAGCCTCAAAAACCGCATAGTTTGGACATGAAATGGTGGTTTTCTGTTTTTGCGAGCCTGTTTGATCCAAGCCAGATGCAACTCCAGACCCTCCTTTCCGACGGCGGCCGGTCGGCCATGAACGCCCGGTGGGTCCCAGTCGGCCAGGAGGCTATGGCAAGCCACTCAGGTTGGAGTCCAAGCACTGCTCAGATCGGATAAGCAGAACAGAGGGCACCCCAATAATCAGAGGAAAGTCGCGTACGTGTCAGTGTCATCACTACCAGCGTTTGTTATAACCAGAGCTGTAGAGATTCTATGGTCCTTGCTTTCAGGCTACAGCCCAATCTTCAAAAAGCTGTTGTAGACGACTGATCATGGTTCTATCACGCAAGAGGAGGCTGCTGGGAATTGTGGACATGCCTCCTAAGCTCTTTAGTGAGGCCATGCAAGGATAACAAGCCCATTGTCAACGCCTGTCAGTCGCCCAAGTCTAGAGTTTGGGGCCGGTGCAGACATGTTGAGAGTTTCCCTCCCACGGACAGGACTTTGATCGTCGCTTGACGGAGGAGGCAGGTCGGTGTTTTCTGGGCAGATGATCTCGAACGAATCAGGACTGACTGATTGGTTGTTCTTTTGTGTGTTGTTTTTCATTCTGATGCATTGCCGGAGTTCTTCCATGGACTGTGGAGCCTTCGGTGGAAAACGCTTCAGTATCGCAGTAATGGCCTTCAGTAGACGACCACAGGCTCCAGACCAAAGGGCTAGGCACGAACCTTCGCCGTGTGGCCTGAAGAGGTTCGAAGCTAACCGTATGAACCAAGCTGTTGAGTACGTGACCACGTTTCCTATCTGTGCTTGAACTCACCATATTCCGTTTACTCCAGGGTTGGTTCGTTGCTGACTGTTGCTACAAAGGGAAACTCAAATCATCCGAAGCAGCCTTTTGAGTAGCCTTTTGAAGGAATTCATTCGCAATACCATGTTGCATAGCTGGTTCTGCTTCTTACGCCGGAGGGTTGCGTAGGCATTGGCGTAGGGTCACATTTCATGGTTACGCGTATGCAGGGTGCAGGGTTGTGCAATTCTGGTTTGTGAATTGTAGAGAGTGGGTGCAATAGCCTTCAAAGCATGCTGAATGAATAGGACAGACTCGTAGGGCTTCCCTCTGAACGGAGCTCATTCATTGTTGGCTGCTGGCCGTGGCCTTCGCTCAGTCCGTTTCCGCACCACCATTTTGCAGCTTATGGCTCTAGAACTCGTAGAGCTGTGCGAGAAGTCTGAGGAGGCCCGACGCCGAATGGCGGCGTTCACAATGTTCACGGCCGACCGGTGAAGCGTTCCGTTTTTTTGGGCGACCGCAGGCCGGCGATCTCCATGACCCACTCACCCACCAAACTGTTAGTATACTACCTTCGGAAAAGAAGTATACTGTATACTACCTAACTGTATACTACCTTCGGATGATATGGGGTTTCGAAAACATACACACACAGATATATATATATATGTGCTTGCACCCAGCATAAAAATCTTATAAATAAAAACATTGTATATATATATATGTGCTTGCATGATTGGGGGTTCCGAAAGCACCTGTTGGAGGGTCCAGGGCCACCATCTAACGTTCCAGTACCGGTTCAATGGTCTGTTGGAGCTGAGTTGGGAGCGAAGGACCGCAAGTGTGTGGACCTGCCCTCTTCTGCTCCTGGCAAAGGACCAGTGGACAGCAAACGATGAAGCTTCGGACCCGGACAAGTTTACATGAAACAAGCACTATATAATACATACATATATATATATATAATGCCCTCAGTAAGACGAATCACCCTACAGCCTTCCATCCTTGGCACATCTCCCGAGAGTGGGTCTGGTCAAGTGAAAGCTGGCGGGTATCGACCCCCCAAAAAGCAGCAAAGTCAAAAGCTACCTCTTCAAGTGATCACCATGGATGGGATGGGCATCCCGACCACGACCTTTCGGTGGACGGACGGAGGTTACCAGATGATTTGGTCAAGTTTGTGGATTCATGTTCCTCGTATTGTGGCACTTTCAGCCCAGAGTAGACCAGAACTTACATATGTTAACCTAACAATGCTTCACCCATGAGAAGCGTGAACAGGGGGTTGGCCCCATGCATCCTGAAAGCACAGAGGATGCGTGTATATGAATACGGTATAATACGGTATACTTACCAGTACTTAGCCATTCTTGCCTCACTTGTGGTTAGGATTTGGCCCGTCTTTGTTGATCAAGCCTAAGCCATCGATGGCTGGGGCCTAGCAGGAACCCTTGGCCATGTCTTCCGCCGCGGCCCGGGGCCCGGATGACGTCTCAGGTCATCGACCTTATTTTCGTTTGGTTTGGACGGTGGAAGTGATGAGCTCTTCAGCTGGCCTGAACCCATGAGCTGCCCACAGCTTTTTGGGATTGGTCCACGCTTGCAGACAAATCTCAGTCAGAAGTCACTGTTGCAACCACTCGTGCAATGGAGGCACGATGGCTTTCGTAGGGCACACGGGGTTGATTATATAGATGAAGTTTCGGAGGAGGTGTTTTGTGACGGCATGCCCGCGAGGCAGGCAAAATGGGCAAGAATTGTAAGGTGTCCAACTACCAAGAATTGTTATGAATTGTTGACATTTCCTGGTTCTTTGTGCCAACCCTATCATCATAGTGGCTCTTTGGCACCATTCATTGACCGAGCTGGAAGGTGGATGGAAGATGATGGAAGCTGGCTTCAGTTTAGACGAGCATCTAGTTTCTTCCAGATTTCCCAATTGTATGTTTTTGGCAGCACATGTCATTTGGAGATATTTGGAGTGTAGTTTGGAATATTCCTTCCTGCTAATCCTGAACAAACACCACGGTCATCGAGTGGGCACAAATCCAAGCACTCTTTATTTACGACAGACTTGCCAAGCCCTCTCCAAATAGGAGACCCTCTTCGACACACGCACACACCGCACATGTTTAAACCAATATTTGATTATAGTCGGAGTTCCTTTGTATGACCAAGATGAGCCTTGCGCAAATCAACCCCATGAGTCTTGCACATGTGTTTCTCTCAGTGCAACACCCATGCAACACCCGTAACGAACACATGGGTAACTTAGAGCCAGCATCGCTTCTAGGGGCTCCTGGCATCGTTACTAGGAGCAAGGACTCTAGTAGGGTCGCTTCCAGCAATTCAAATCCGATCACTTGACACCCGATGCGTGGCTGAACGCCTCGCGGAAACCAGGCGTCTCCGGCCTGCGGAGACCGGAGGGCCGGAGGTTTGTGGAGGGAGGGCGCCACACGTGTTGCATTAGAAGAAGTGGAGGCCGCAAATGGACATCGTCTCCAAACATGTATCTCTTTTTGGGGGGACCTCCATGACTGCTCAAGGCTTCAAAGTGCCCTGGTCCAACCAGGTCAAAGCTCGCTTTCTGAGACTGCTTCGGGGTTGGGGGGAATTGAGTGGATGCTTCTGCGCTCAGCAGGTGATTTGAACATTTGTGGATGCTTCCGCTCTCAGAGCGGTGAGTTAGACTCTCTCCTCGTCTCGAGACAGAGGTTCGGATGGGGGTTCGAGACAGAGCGCAGGAGAGCACCATCACCATGATCACCACATCCACGGTCCTCTTGATCGCTCAAAGGCTGTGGCGGGGAGGGTAGAGACAAGTCCCAGGATGTTTTATGAAGTCCTGAGGTGGTGCGAGCAGTGGCCATGGCACCCACAGCATATGGTTTATATAGCAGAGATTCTGACCTACCAGTTGTTTCATGCTACTTCAGGATGTTGATGGATATTCTAACAGGTTGTTGGGTGTAGCTCAAGTTGTTTGCTTGACTTGTCGCTGTTGATGGCTCTTCCACCGAAAAAACGATGCAGACCTGACATGGCACGATGCACCCTCCGTGTTGCAGTCCGTGGTTTTCCATCCGACACCCGTTGTGACCGTGGGACCAACGTTGAACAGTTGGCCATTCTCCTTTCTAAAATTGGGTTCCGCAAATGCTTTGGAGTGTGAACACAGAGTCGGAAGACTGCGCTGGCGAGGCCTTGGGCATTGGCAGCTTGAGTTTTGAGCGACTCGACTTGACAGCTGCTGTCGGCCGAGGTACTTTCCGCACCTAAGGACCTAGGGTGCAGAGGATTCTACAAACTATAGACGATCTGGCTGTGGAAGAATGGGTTGTGCAGTGCCTTTTTTGGGTCGCGGGGAGCCTTTGACATAACTTATCAAGGCTCAACAACTTGTTTCAACCGCGAATTTAGGGGTAGGTTATTTGGTATTGTTAATCTTCAGACCCCTTTTTGCCACATGTTTCTCTTTGCCGACTGCGCATGTACAGAAAGCCAACACGCATCAGTTCTTGTCAGAACGCTATGGCTATAACTTGAATTAAGCCGGAATTACACATCCGGCAACCATCGGAAACCCATACCCTGGGGTCATTGTACAGGGTGCTGAAGGTGGCAAGCGGAGTCATCCAAATAGTGGCCAATCCTTATTTTCAAGATTTTCAAGTTTGGCAGAACCTGAAGGAAAAACAACATCTCTCGCACGTCTCACTTCACTATTCAAGTCATGATGATATTGTACTGTTTTCCCCAAGGAGTCCTACCAGATCCTACCAGGTCAGATCATGCGGAACCATATGCAGCGCGTTTTTGTGAACAACCATAATTTTTTGGGACCATGACGGAAGAGTGGAAGAGGCAGACCCTTTTGGCGTAACGGCCCTATCAGAACCCTCTTCGCTCAAATCCCAAACACTAACCGTCACTAACCCTTGCATCACCCCTTGGGATATAAAGGGTCTTGAGGCTGGTCTGATTGGTGGGGCTTTTGGTTGAGCCGCATCACAGCTGCACGGGTTCTGCCGAAAGCACCGAGGCCAATCTTTAATGAGAAGTACAATGCCAACCGGGCCGCGGCCCCAAAGCAAGATCCGGTTTCGCCACTTCACGGGACCTCAGTTTGCGCGGGGTGAAAACACGGGTTTCCCGCAGATTTCCCCTTAGACCGTTAGACCCATTCATTGATGATTGGTGCCGTCCCAGACCTGGTAGGAAAGTTGCCTGACCAAACTAACGCATGGTGCTGCCATAGTGATGTATGATGGCAGACTGCCATCAGAGTTCCTTCCTGCCACTGAGAACCTATGTAACTACATTGGGTCTATGCCTCTCTCAGAGTTTGCATATCGACCAATTTGGTTTTCTGTGGAGTCGTTTCTCCGTCATGTGCTTGCAGCTGCACTGGGAAAGACATAGTTTTGCGTCGCATTGTTGCTACAGTAGGAATGCAACTGGTGTATATATAGTCACTTTTGGCTTGTGAGTGATCGCATTGACGTTGCTCAATGGCAGCTTCAATCAACAAGGTCGTGCTTTAAGGTCTTTGGACCGTTCTGATTTGCAAGGAACTCCAGAGATCATATGGACTTCGTTGGAACCAACGTCTACATTAGATGTACATGCATTGCAGCACATGAAAGTGCAGATGTGCGTAGATTGCGTCCCTTTTTTCTTGAGGAATTAATCTGAGCAACCACTGAGTCACTGACTGCAGCAGAGCTCCACTGTCTTTGCAAAACCGCAGGTGGCCAGGGAGACAATGGGCTTCCTTTGCTTGCAGAGGCTTCTGCCCATCCTGACCCTCGCCGTGCGAATAAGTGGCGTGTCAGTGGCGCCCAAAAAGGACTCCCACAAAAAACTTAGGAACTTCTGTGATCTTCTGTGATAGATCTTCCAATTCTTCTATGACCTTCCATGTTTCAAACTCCAGAAGCTATCATTGAATAGTCATTGAATGGGATGAAAACAGACATCTCTCACAATTCCAGTCTCTTGGCTTGGGTGATGGGAGGTCCTTTATTTTTTCCCCATAGCCCATGGGATCCCACCGACTGCAGCAGCCAAGGATTGGATTGCTGACTGCAGCAGCTGCCGTCGTCGCCCGCAGCTCAGATCGTGCCGGTGGAGTCAGCAAGCCTTGGGCCTTGGGCCTTTGGAAGCACGGGCCCCCCGAGCATCAAGGATTCTTTTCCCAATGGTTTCCTTGAAAAGTTGTTCTCAACTGGGGCCCCTCGGCTTGCGTGAAAACTTCACCAGAAAGAGTGACAGAAGGATACAGAATGCTCCAGCGTGTCAAACCCTCAGCAGTACCCTCAGCTGGTTTGACTCCTTAGGCACTGGAAGGTCGATTCTGATTCTCTGTTATATGTCAATGGCTGAGCATGTTGAACCTGGGTTTGTGCGTTCTGTGCCATGCTGCAACTCCACAAAAAGGTGGAGCTGTGGGTTTGTCTCGGGCGTGTCGCATTTCCTTTGCATAGCTTGTATTTGTGGCCGCTGTGGCCACCAAGATCCATGAAGTATGAATCGGCGGGGTGCGGATCTCTCATTGAAATGGATAAATTGGCATGTCGATACTCCCGGACCACGGTCACCAAGTGCGTGACACTCTTGATTCATAAAACCACTTCATTTGGATTCTCTTCATGCGGGGGACACTTTATACAGAACTCACTGTCTACATGGTGGGACGCTGTGCTTGATTCCTTGGGCTTCTGATGGACAGGTGGGCTACATCAGCGAACTTCTTGGGGATCTTCGGACTGAAAAGGTCAATGGGCTCATTGCGTGGAGTCTCAGCGGTTTTGGGGCTCTGCGGTCGGATACCAGCGGACAGTAGGAGCATGTTGCGGGCTCTCCGTGCACGTGAATCCTGCCCCTTCAATCTGACTAATGCAATCATTTAACGAGTGCAGCACCCGCCGGTCACCCGCCGGTTCGACTGTTCAATCTTGAATCTCGCATGCCAACATCTACCAACAAGCCACCCTCGGTGACCCAGAACCGAAGGGTGCGTATGATGTGTGGATCTCGAGCACGTTCGATTCTACATGTTTTTACGTTTTGTGGTTGGGTTTGTTGGGTCCATTTGTTTATCCCATTTGTCAGTCTGCCAAACCCCAGTTAGCGACTTCTTCGATTTGCTCGATGCCGCACGCGTCGCGCCAGCGTCGCGCATGCGCATGAAACAGTTCTAGCACATCTCAACTTCCTTTAACGAAAGAAGCATCATCTATCCGGATCTTCGGTGAAGCAAACTGCATTCCAAAGGATCTCTAGCACCAGCAAAAGACCAAAACTCAAACTCACACACAAGGAACAAATGAATCATGTACAAAGAAGCTTCGAGCAATTTCACAGTGAATTTCCATGTCCATCCAGATTCAATGATGACCATGCATTCAACTCTACAAATTCTGCAAGAAAAGCAAATCGACATGGAACAGAAGGCACCTAAATCTCAAGAAACGGTCATCTTCTACACCTCCGATCCTGGTCGGACTTTTTTGGACACGTCCTTCAACTACAGTTCCGTCGACACACGGTTGAAAAGACCATCAAGACTTGCACAACCTGAGGAATGGTGGAGGGCCATTCTTACAAAATTCACCATCCGGCAGTCGGTTCATCTCCTCGTGTCTAACCGCCCGTGACAAAAAGAGTTGCTGTGCTTTCTTTTTACATCACATTTTTGGGCCTTTCTGAAAAGGTAACAAAAATCCCCTTGATCAGCGCCAGTGTCCTTCATGCGGCATGTCAAGGTGGAGCATGGGATGCTGGTGGCCTGGCTGGCAGGTGGCGGTCCGACCGAGTCCCCAGCCGTCAGCGACATCAACGGCCGCCGACTCGGGCCCAATGGGGGGCGGGCTCAGCCAGATGGGGTGGGCTAAACGAAAAGCGAGAGAGAACGTGGCCATGCTAAATTTTGCTTTGGCGGGTGATTTGAATGCAATCAGTTGAGGGTGTATGATGATTATGATGGACACCCTGCAGCCCCGAACAAATAAGCGCAAAGAAGTCCAAGCCCCTTCCAAACCTCTTGAGGTGCACGGGGAGAGGTCTTTGGGACTGGACACTCCTAAGACCCCCACCAATTAATTACAGAATTGCACGCGGCATTGCGCCATGACCTCACCCATTGATCACCGCACATGCTTGCCGGTGACCACCTCTTGGGATGCCTCAGTTTTCCACCACATTCGGGGCGGGTGGCCCACTGGTACGTCGCTGTTCTTGCGCCAGAATTTGCCATGATGAGCGGCCTGGCACTGGCTGGTGGCTTCCTAGTGTCGCGTAGCGGCCTGTTTTGTGCGACCGGGGGCTCTTCACCAAGAGAGCGGCCAGAACAATTCGTCGAAGTAAATTTACGCAAAGACAGACTGCAAGAACATGAACAATGGCACGCTCCTGCACTGAGCAACCTATTGTAGTCACATTGGTGTTCTTTGCGCATGGCCATCGTGATCGGGAACATCTATATAATCTAATCATTAACCAATCTTATCTAATCTTCATTCTGCACCACTCCACTGCTAAAGTAGCTTCATTTTGAAGCGTGAATTTGAATGATCAGTGCCAGACAGAAGTCAATCCACAGAGCCAAATATGTGTTTCTATATTTAGTTGTTGTGTGATGATCATGAAATGACATGCCCCTTTTTCAAGCGGCTAACTCTGGCTACGTCCAGCTCGGGCGTTTCGACGACCCACGGCGCCAGGTATTGTGGGGACATCTCTGGCACCAAAACCGCTGGGCCTTGATCTTGGCGAGAATGGACAAAATTGGGAATCAGTTCAATCAGTTCAATCACCAATACTATCCTTATAGGCTTTGAATCATACTCATCGTAAATGAGTGTATGGTATTATCATATAATTAGATGTTGCTCCTTTCATTGATCTTTTTCCAGCTCTTGAGAGGATGTTGCTCGTCCAGTGTTGCACCCTTTTGTTGCAACCTTTTCGGCCCAGATTAGAGTGTAGGACCGTTTCCTCACACCGCAGCAAACGCCTGCGACGTTTTACCGTCATGCCATCGGTGCCAATGTTGGAAAGGTTAGGGCTTTCAAGCCCATGCCGTCGCGGCGCTTCAGATGAATCGGGCCGAGCAGCTACGGCTTTTGGAGCGGAGAAATCCAAGGCAAGTGCTGGTGAAACCCCGTAGTCCTCTAGTCCTCAACTCCCTCGCGGTGGACTCCCAAAGGAGTCATCACTATTATTGTGCACCAAGGACCAAGGTGCTTGCGACCCTCGCACCCTCCAACAGGTTACCATTTGCAACCTTTTTGCGTCGAAAGCATCCAGAGTAGACCGTGTGCTGATATGTTCAACATAGTAGACCTGGTGGGTCAAGAGGCCCAGTTGCCCAGCATTCCACAGGTTTCTGGGCCAAAAGTTTCCCCGTTAAGATGAGAAACACAAACGTCACGAGCGCGAAACACTACCGGTCGTCGCTCAGGCGAGTGAGCTGTCTGACCTGTCGCGGCAACCCACCTCTGTCGACCTTCACGAGAAGGCATGCGTGCCCACGCCACGCGTGGCGGAGCCCCTTCCAGTGATTTGGCATTTTGGGGTCGGAGGAAGCGTTTTCAGATGTTTTCACTCATTGGTCATGTGTGTTTTTGTTTTGCCTGGTGTTCGTAGGTTTTCGATGTGAACAATCTTTTCACTCCATGCTTTTCAAGCCATAGGATTGCTGACTTTTGCGCTCCGTGCACGTGACGCGTTTCCGTTGCTTTCGGCACGAACCGCACCGGCCATGCTTGGGTCGATCCATGCAGGCGCCGTGTGTCGAAACCGAGTGAAGTGGACCCCCTCAACCTTTGAATCACCCATGTGAGGCAAACATGCTCGTTCCAGGTTGGGGGGGCCCTGAGATTGAGAGGAACCCTTGCTAACAGCGTGAGATCCTGGACATGGTGTCCAAGACATGTTCCAGATTTTGTGTTTACATCCTTTATGAAAGCAATTGGGGGTCCATCCTACGTTATAAACCGATATACATATTGTCCTCCATACGTGTGTCAGACGCACGCACCACTCTACGAGAGACTCAGACCGCGTCTCCCAGTGGTCCGACCGTCGGACCGTGAGCAGCGTGCGGGCTGCTCAGTGCCGAGGTCCTCTTGGGCCGGACCAGGCTAGCACCACCAACCCAGAACACGGACGCAGAGGCGTGTGCACAAGCAGCTCGCCAGGCCTACCTGGAGAGACAAGCACGGAGACGCAGCTGATCAGGTTTACAACAGCGACATCCGGTGTTGTGGTGGGACTTGACTAGGCTACAGATACTTTGAAACATCCAGCTGGGTTGCCCAACTTAACCGTCATCACGCATTAATTGGAGTGTAGTAACGCATTCTACCTACCCAAACTACCTTGAGGCCAATTTTTACTTTTTACCAGATACCAGCCGGTCTTGACCATTGTTTTGGCCAGTATGGCTGACAGGGTTTCCACGTTTTGTTTCTTTGCATGCCGGGTTGTTAATTGTTAAACTTGTTGCAAGACACTGTTGATATATTCGGGGTTCATTCCAGGTACGCCCTCATGCGCCTTTTGAGAATGGATCTTTTTGAGTCATTGAGTCATTACAGGCCAACATGACTGACATCCATTCACCAAACAACAAGGCGCTTCCGGTGTGGACCAGCTTCCCCACTCGCCACTCCTAAGGAGAGCCAGTCGGGTCACCGGATGAGACCACAGCGCCACTCCAAGCGGTGCGAGCCGTCAGAAGCCAGATTGTACAGACTGGCACCAGACATGGCCGAGGATCCAGGGACGCCATGCGTCGTTTGCAAGATCTGAACGAAAGAGTGAAACTGTGGGGTGCAGGTGTTTCAATATGTTTCAGTCACCTCTGACCAAAGCGCATTCACCTGGATCCTGGTGTTGACCGAGCACGCCCCGAGCGACCAATTCGCGGAGATGGCGTCCTTACTGCGATCTTTGCCAGCGCATGCTGGCAGTGTTTGGTTTCCGTAGGCCGTTGTGGATGTTCATACCCGAAGCTATGGCATCCAGGCCCCTAGACGGAAGGATGTTGGGCTAAACGTCAGAAGCAATGTTACCCAAAAAATACTTTTGGGAGCAAGATGGACGATGTCCGTGATTGCTTGGTGGTGGCCTCTTATTTCATACACCCAAACATTGGAATTCGCTTGGACCCACATTTCGTGTGGAAAAAAGGTCGCCGTCCGCCTAGAGGAGCGCTGATTGCCTGCTGACTCTGTTTGCAGCGGCCTTTTTTTGTGGTGTGCGTGTGCGTGTGTGTCTAGAAGATTAGTTACCAGCTGACACACCTCCGACAGGCTTTTGCGGTGGCCGGCTCCTTCCATAACACAGCAAAAGTCTCGCGCATGGTATGTGTGTGTGTGTGTGTCAACACCGGAACCCCAACCACGCATACGATCGTATACTATTGTATGAAGGCCATCGAAGGCTGACACCAGCTTAGTGGCTTTCAATACACGGGAAAACTGCTGGACTGGGAATCGTTTCACTGGGAATCGTTTCAGCTGTAGTAACAAGAAGCTTCGGCCGCTGTTTTGGGACCTCGCGACCCACTGGTCGCGGCAGACTTCGTGAGGTCCTCCGGCATTCCGCAGCTCATCGGTCTGCTGAATGGTTGTGATTTGAAGGGCGAGTTCAGTCTGAGGAGAGGAGGGTGTGGTCTCGGGTGTCCGATGCTTCAGGGTGTGACATGGGGATTGACACTGCTTGGAACGAGCATCGTTTCAAAGGCTTTTGAAGCAGGTAGATAGCCAGAGTGAAGAGGTTGGCCCTGGGTTGAAAGCAAGAGCTCAGCAAAGGTCAAACTCCTCCAAAAGTGGGAATGTCCTCCACAAGAAACATCCGGATCCTTTGAAGTCAAGATTGGGACACAGATTCGAAAAGGACAAGACACCTGCCACCCTACTGTGCATGTCTTTGAGGTCCTTACCCTTTTCATCCCTTTTCCAAAAAGATCTTCTTCCTCCCTGCCTCCGTCTCATCCCTCCGCGTCTCAGGCACGGCTTGGTGAAGTGGTTCGGCGTGTGTTTGGCCGTGGCCTCCGGTCTGGCCGTGGGCCCTGAAGGCCCCATGATCTTCATCGGCGCCTTCGGCAGGGGAAGCGTGTGCCGGGCGGCGGAAGTGGAAGCGGTGGAACACCAAGAGGCTGAAAAGGTGGTGCAGACGGTCCGGCCGGAGCGAGTGTGTGTGTGTGTGTTTTCCCGAATGCGTAGCGAAGGGTTCTCGTTCAACTCTTGGGGGTGTGGGGGTGGAGCCTTGTTCGCGATCCGTTGTTTCTACGTCCGCAACCGTCCGCAACCGTTCGCAGGTGTCCGCAGTAGAGCGCTAAGGCGCTGCCATTGGGGGAAGCTTTTGCAAGTGACTTTTCATGGATGTGTCACGTGTCAGTTTGCAACGCTATTCCATTGTGATTTGCTTGAAAATGGCATGTCGCGCAAGAAGCGTGATGCATTTCGCTGCACAGGCGCAGTGGTTTGAGAGATCCGCAGTTTACTGCGCAGTTCCATTGGGACTAGCGTTTGGAGAGTCGTGTTTTTGGGGTGTTGGATGTGGCCGTGCCATTGGGATTTGCAGTCTCAGCTGAAATGGCGATTGATTTTGGTGGATGGGAGTGCGCTCAGAACGGGTCGAAATCATTCTAAACGTGCGGTGTGGTGCAAATTTTGTTGAAGCTCACGTGAGATGATATTCTCACTTTTCGTGGCAGGCGCAGTACTTTGTGCTGATTTTGAGGTGTGGAAGTGCGATTTTCGTGGCAGGCGCAGGAAATCGTGAGGTTGCGAGGTGTGACGGAGGTGACATTTCGTGGCAGGCGCAGTACTTTGTGCGCGTTAGACATGTGGATGCGGAAAGATTCGTGGCAGGCGCAGGGAATCGTGAGGTCGTGAGTTGTGGTAGAGGTGAATGTCGCTGTCACATTGGGATTGGCGTGTGAGCGGGTATTGTTTGGAGGGGCTGGACTCGCGAAACTGCTTGGCAGGGCTGCGTGATGTGTGTGTGCTCCGATGGGTGTTTCCGCTTGACTTTTGGAGGAAGTCTCGTACGAAATCCTTGTTTTGCAGACTTTGACATGTGAGTTTTGGAGGATTTCTCGTACGAAACGCTCGTTTTGGAGACTTGACACGTGCCTTTTGGAGGATTTCTCGTACGAAACGCTCGTTTTGGAGACTTGACGTGTGACTTTTGGAGGAAGTCTCGTACGAAGCGCTCGTTTTGGAGACTTGACGCGTGACTTTTGGAGAAAGTCTCGAACGAAACGCTCGTCTTGTGCAGCCTCGAAGCGCGACTTTTGGAGGACGTCTCGTACGAAACGCTCGCAGGACTGCTTCTAGTGTGCCACAAGAGTGTCCCACAAGAGTGTCCTACAAGAGTGTCCTACAAGAGTGTCCCACAGCCACAAGAGTGTCCCACAAGAGTGGTCCTACAAGAGTGTCCCAGAAGAGTGCCCCACAAGAGTGTCCTATAAGAGTGTCCCACAAGAGTGTCCTACAAGAGTGTCCCATAAGAGTTTCCTACAAGAGTGTCCCACAAGAGTGTCCCACAAGAGTATCCCACAAGAGCGTCCCAACAAGAGTGTCCTACAAGTGTGTCCTACAAGAGTGTCCCACAAGAGTGTCCCACAAGAGTGTCCTATAAGAGTGTCTCACAAGAGTGTCCTACAAGAGTGTCCCACAAGAGTTTCCCACAAGAGTGTCCCACAAGAGTGTCCCACAAGAGTTTCCTACAAGAGTGTCACACCAGAGTGTCCACAAAATTGTCCCACAAGAGTGTCCTACAAGAATGTCCTACAAGAGTGTCCCACAAGAGTGCCCCACAAGAGTGTCCTGCAAGAGTGTCTCACAAGAGTGTCCCACAAGAATGTCCGACAAGAGTGTCCCATAAGAGTGACCCACAAGAGTGTCCTATAAGAGTGTCCCACAAGAATGTCCGACAAGAGTGTCCCATAAGAGTGACCCACAAGAGTGTCCTATGAGAGTGTCCCACAAGGAGTGTCCTACAAGAGTGTCGTGTAAGAGTGACCCACAAGAGTGTCCCAGAAGCGTGTCCTACAAGAGTGTCTACAAGAGTGTCCCGCAAGAGAGTCCCACAAGAGTGTCCTGCAAGTGACCCACAAGAGTGTCCTACAAGAGTGTCCCACAAGAGTGTTCCACAAGAGTGCCCGGCAACAGTGTCCCACAAGAGTGTCCTGCAAGTGACCCACAGAGTGTCCCACAAGAGTGTCCTGTAAGAGTGTCCTACAAGAGTGACCCACAAGAGTATCCTACAAGAGTGTCCCAGAAGAGTGTCCCACAAGAGTGTCCTACAAGAGTGTCATTTGGACATATGTAGCTTTTCGAACGTGTTTGCATTCGGGTTCGTGGGCTCCATCTTGTTTTTTCTTTTTTCAGAGGTCCACTGGCTGCAAAGGATGACGAGGTGGAACGTCATCCTAGACGGAATGCCTTGAGAGACACGTCCCACGTGTCATGAGTCATGTGGGCCACATGTGCTTGCTTAAGTGACCGGGTGACGCAGCATGGTCGCTTGAGGGTGAAGAGAGAGGGAGAGGGAAACTGGTGATTGAGGCAAATCATGTAATACGTATACCGCATACTCAATAACATTGTTACTTGTTCATCTCTTTTCAGTTTTGTTCCTGTAGGGTTGTGGCAAATCTCCAAGTTTCACCTGTTTTCGAGAAGTGTGCCCAAGAAACCAAAGCAAGACTTCCACTTGCACCCCTGGTCGGCTCAATTAAGGTGCCTCCATCGGCTTCTTTTGCTCCAGGTGGGTGTGTGATGCGCGTCAGTTTCATGGTGGGCATGAGTGCGAAATGCACAGCATTTCCCTGTGGTGAGTTCCTGTATTTGGATTTGTTGATAAACTAATTGATCATGGCATGTATATACTTATGTGACTTATGTGTGCACATTTGATGTACGTCTGCGGTTTGGAGCCATGAAGGTCATAGGTAAGCGGGTTGGTATGTTGACATGTTCCAGCAATTTCAAGTTCCTTGTTCGCCGCATTTCGCCGCCATCCTGTGTCATGCTTGGATGTGCTGATCAGTCACCTTCAGACCTCCCAAACAAAGCTCTTAACCTGGTCATGCTTCATAACATTTCATAACCCTTAACGAACAAATCATTGAACTATCAAACCACAAGATCGTTTGGACACTCTGAAAAAAAGTGAGACGCCGGCAGGTTGCCTCAAAACCCCACGGTTTGGAGAGTCTTGGGCACTCCTCCAGCCACGGTGGGCCGACGACCCAGCCGGAAAGGGTGGACGGAGGCATGGGGGGGGCCTTAGCCTGGCCCAGCCTGGTGTTTAAGGAGTGACGGGGTGGACCGCAAACACGAGTGACGGGTGGCAGGCCGACACCAAAGGGTTTTGGTTTACACCGTGAGTATCTGGGCTTTTAGATGGCCTTAATTAAGCCTTTGAAAAAGAATCGAAATGACTTCTTGCATCGACCAACGCCATATTATGCATCCATATGCCGCATTGCACCTAGCCATGCTGTACCCCCTCCGGTCCAAGGTGATGATGTGTACACCCGGGACTATACCTCCATCGGTGCTGCCTGCGGTATCGCAGCCGCCTTCCGCGCGCCGATCGCCGCTGGGCCGTTCCAATGATTGTCATTCTTTCGGTTCAACTGTTCCCCCCTCTTAGCAGAACTAGGATTGCGTGCCCTCTTGCGACTCTGGCGAGGCAACGACGGACCAAATCATGTGCCACCGAGACGGAGCGATGAGAACGCTAGTTGTATAACCGTGTGTGTGGCCATTTCTGTCATCTTTCTTTTGGGTCAGGCTTTTCATCTGGCAGCTCCAAGAACTGGCCATGTCCGCCATGGATATTTTCAGATTCAACGCATCGGTGGGCGATCTCTCGGGCCCAGCCCTTTTCCGTGAAGCGCGATCACAGCTGTTGGTTCGTCTCAGGCAGGGACCCTTTTTATTGTGGAGGAGGCCTCCTCACACTTCAAGAAGGATCAGATGGCAAATATTTTCTACGGAGGCACGGCACGGTGGCGATGAAACCATGCGGTGCTGAGTGAAGCCTTTGGAAATCTGGTCGCCGCCAGTGTGGGTTGAAACATGTGGAAATGACATATGCCTCAATTTGGGTGTTTCCCATTGCCTGTGCCAGGCGACAAGAGACTACCTTTTTTTACAATCCACTGTTCCTGGGAATGGGATTTGCGAAGTTAAGATTTCAAGGGTAACAGTGGTAAAAGGGTTTGAGGGAGCAAGGGGGTGGGCCCACAGCTCAAGAATTGTTGAGGTGTCCGGCAAGTTTGGATCTGAATTGTCCAAGACTGATCAGGTCACAACCTCACAATGCCTGGTCGCCCTTGTTCTGGACTTCTTTTGGACATGAGGCTAGCTCCCTGTTCTTCTGGACCTCTTCCATGATCACCACACCCTCGGGAAAGACACCTTCACCATAGCTGAGGGTTGCCAGCAGCACTCCAAAATGTGCTGACATGTGAGTCATGACATGTCACTCCATTGGTGTTCTCCACCATCCTTTTTATCTTCTTCCACCCCCTGAGATACCAGGACCGATTCGGGGATTCGGGGCCCCGGTGCTCCCGTCCGATAGAACAATGACCTTCACCGTCCAAAGGGTGTGGAGTTTCAGATGTTGGGGTCCATCCATTGGCGACCCCCCTTTGGATGCATCCTGGTACTTACAAGACTTACAGTGGTTTCAGGGTAGATGGCCCGACCTGTCCTATCTTGATAGGGGGTCCACTAGGGCCATCTACTCAGTGCCATCTACTCTTATTCCCCTTGGATCATTCTGGTTCCTCTTGGATCATGGCAGAGGGAACAAAAACAACACCCACACCGAGCTTTGCAGGCCTGGCTGCTGTGGAGGTGCGCTGCCTCACCAAACCGAACCCCCCCCTACCCGCCGGAGCGGGACACTGTTGGGGGCTCACCTGGCGACGAAAGAGGTGGATTTGGATCTCATCAGCACAGCTGCCGGATGGGTGGTAGGAAAGTCTGAGACTGAGAGTCGAATCAGAACACCGGGTGGGTGGAGTTGCAGGTGATGTTGCTCGCTGGTGGAGCTGGATCCATCCTGGAGTACAAGGTGCGCAGTGAAAGGGAACACGTGCTTGGTCGATGCTATTAGGCATGGATGGATGGTGATGGATGGACAACACATATCATGATATTCACACACAGATATATATATATATATATACATACAGTATATAACCCAAGCTCGTCAAACACGGTTGCAGATTCGTCGTTCTCTGCAGTGCACGCAATCCAGATCCGCAAATCCACCCAAGTCCTTACCACGAAGAGATGTCACGAGATGTCAAGCATGAGTCGGGGGGTGGGTTTGACAAACCTAGAACTGTGGAATGGTGTTCATTACTGCTTCCAAACTGGTCAGGCAAGGTCCCCCGAAAACCAACGAAGGAGTGACAGATCTGGCCCTCCCAGCCGTTTCCTTACGCCAGGGCATGTAGCATATGCCCAATGACCATGCAATTCAGGGCCTGGCCGGGGCTTCCACCGCGCGTGCCTTGCACTCGAGGTGCAAGTGGGTCCAGGTTGCAGTGAAATCCCTGATTGGTGCAGACCTCAGGGTCGGAGGATGATTGACAACCGCTTTGACCCCATTGGCATCCATTTTTTCGATTTCTATTCAGTAAATGATCAAGGACTCAACAGATGGAGTTTTCTCCGATGTGTGGTCCACAGCAAGGTCCAAACTTGGACAAAGCTCGGATCTTCGGGATCCATATGAGCTTCGGATCTACTGCAGCTGTTCCTGTGAACAATCCTCCAGATGTCTTACATCCAACACGGGCAGTGCCTCATTGACGACCACCTCAGCTGGTCCAAAGCACACTCCGGCTCACCAAGCCCCTTCCCCTCCACTGCTGTAGTTCGACGATGGAGGTGCCGCGAAACCATCGTCAGTTGGTTCCGCGAAACCACTCAGGACCTTGGTCTTTTGCATCGTCGTGGGCCTCCTGTGTGGACTCCTGGGCGCCGCCTTCAACGCCTTGAACATCCAGGTGAGCGAGCTGGAGGGAGATGCACCAGTGGCGGGAGATGGGATGGAGATGGAGGGGACAAAGCCAAAGCAACTGTTTGAAGTATATAATATATCAGTAACTACAGTAACCGTAAAATGACTATTTAGGGGGCCAGGCCTTACTGCCTGGTGCTCTCTATAAGTTGGCTTTCACAAGCACAGTGAGCCAAAGGTCCGGTGACCGAATCCAGGCGAAGCTACACCACGGGCGTTTTTGGGGTTGTTTGGGTCCAAGTGAGGCAGATGGCTTGGGTTGGAACACTCGGCGGTTGCGGGGGAGGACGCTGTAGAGATCAACGGAGAACCCAACTGTTGATCTCCAGAAGATTTGAGGTGCTGCGGGATTTGTGGGGAGTAGTGGAGGCCAGGTGTATTTACATGTTCCATGGCCCATGCCTGCCGATCCACTCAAGGGGAAAGTGCCTTGAGCCGATCACACATGACCGCTCAATCCGCTGAGCCGCTGAGTTCTAGCTGAAGACATTATGGATTGTATATTACAATATATAGTTATCCCATGTTATCTCCGTTTTTTATATTCCAAGTGCTCTGGAGTGTTGTTTGCTGGTCTTAGAGTTTGACGGCAGTGTTGAAAAGTACCCGACCCATTCTTCAGGCCGGCGCATGAGATGTTTCCCAGCTGAGAGTTTAGGGATGAACATGTCGCACCCTTTTATATGTGAGCCTTCACCATGAGTCCATGTAGCCGGGTGGGATCGAGCTTGACACCAGGAAAACAGCCGGTAGACCGTTCGTTGGTCGTTGATGGTTCGCTAGTGGTTAGCGACACGCACTTCGAGAAGTGTACCAAGTTACCCTGCAAAGCTCCGTTACCAAGTGCATGGTAGCGGAGCTCCGGCTCCGGGACCATGGCTGCAGGCGGAAGTCAAGACATTCCAACCTGGAATGGAGACGCTGCGACATTTGAGACTTTTGCTACAGCATGCAAGTGGTATCAAAGATCCTTAAAGGATAGTGAGCAAAAGTTGGCAGCCAGCAAGGTTTGGCAGAGACTGTCCAGCGCTGCAAAACAGGTGGTAAAGCATCGTCCTCCAGAAGAACTCGAAGACGAAACTGGACTGGAGAAGCTTTTGGATGTCCTCAGGGCATCCCCGCTGCAGCTTCTCCCAGTACCCGACTCCTTTAGTCGGCTCGAGGCATGGCACCATTTGAGAAGAGCACCACATGAAACGATTCCAGAACTGCTAGTGAGAGAAGAAGATCTTTTCATTCAATTGCAGATGGCATTGGAGCGTGCACGTGCTGCGAAAACCGGAAGTCGTGTTTCTATTAGTGGTGGCATTCTTGGACAGGCATTTTTGGGGCGTACAGGTACAACTCCAGTTGATCCTCCTTCAACTCCGTCCCGCTCTCCGGTTTCAGGTGGCAATCGTCGTACTGGAACAGGTGAGTCACCCGCTGCTGTCGAACAGACACCGTTGGCATCGTTCTTTGAGGACGAGCTCCGGGGTTACAGACTCCTCAAGGCTGCTAGGCTTTCGACCTCTGAGAAGCAACGTGTATTGACCCAGACGGCAAACAGCACACATTATCATCAGATTCGTTTGGCCCTCAGGACATTGTTTGCTGATGATGGCGAAGCACATGCAGGTTTTGAGCGTCGCAAGACAGCGTGGGTGTTGGAAGAAACATGGGACGACTACCCCGTCGATGAAGGCTGGGAAGAACTGGATTGGGCCGATGGTCAAGATTGGAGTCCAAGCGGCTGGGATGAATGGGTTGAGCCCAACTTCTGGCAAGACTGGTCAGGTGATGCATGAGCTCAGCTGACTGGCAAGAAGATTGGTTGGTTGAAGAAGAACCTGTTCTACCAGATGAGAACAGTGAAGTGGCGGAAGAGCGCCAATACCAGGAGGCCTTTGCGATTGCGGACGAGGCCCACAGAACTCTTCGTGAGGCCCGTGAGGCCGTTCGCAAAGTGCGAGCTGCACGTGGCTATTACGCACCAGAGTCCAACATGGGCAAGGGCATGAGCCCGACCTCAGCAGCTTTGAACAAGGGCAAAGGCAAGAGTGGCAAGAGCTTTTGCAAGCAAGAAGGGTGCTGGCAAGGGCTCTTCATTTGGTCCTTGCTTCATCTGCGGAAAGCCCAATCACAGCTACAGGTTTTGCCCAGACAGATTTGCTGGCAAAGGAAAAGGAAAGGGCAAGAGCTCCGGTGACTTCAAAGGCAAATCAAAGGGCAAGAAAGGCAAGTTGAACTATGTGAGCTACGACTCGGCTGTGTTTTCACTGAGTTGGGATGCGCGCACCATGAATGGCCGCGAGGCCACAAAAGCAGTGATCGATACAGGGGCAACTGAAAATGCTGTCGGCGTTTTTTCTCTCAGCGACCTGGTTGCTTCAGGAGGCTTTCAATATGAAGTTTCCAAAGAAAGTTTGCCCACCTTCCGTTTTGGGAACGGGATGACTGACAAAGCAATCTCCCGGGTAGATCTTTTTGGAACAGCTCTTGGACCTGTTTCTTTCTTTGTTTTGGGCGGTACTGGATCAACGACTCCACCGCTCATCGGCGCGAAGCTCCTGAGAAAGAAGAATGCGGTTTTGTCGTACCACACCACAATGGCATGTTCGTGTTCAAACCTCATGGACAAGCCAATAGCAACAAAGAGAATGATGCAAGAGCTGTGCAACTGGAGGCCCTTACCTCTGGCCATCTCACGATCGACCTGGCAGCGACCCCAGTGGCCATTCCGCAGGACAGAGATGTGTGGTTTGGAGAGTCGGTCGAATGGGCAAAGCAGACAGAGCATGTTGAGCAGCAGTGCAATTTTGTGGAACATGTTTTTATGATGAGTGATGTGCAGAGCAGTTGCATTCATGGCCATTCTCCCTGTTTTTCCTCACCTTCCTGTCCTTCACAAGCTGGCTCGATGAGTGAACGACTTGAGAATCTGGCTCAAAGACTCTCGCATCTCCGTCGAAGGCATCAAGAACATGTCCAGTCGTGCACCAGCGGCATGCGACGATCCCAGACAGGAGGGATTCCCATGTTACGGTCAACACAAGACCGGGAAGATGAGGAGCAACCAATTTGCGACATGGGCCGCGTGCAGTCGGTGTGGCCTTCGAGTGCAGTACACGGCCAAGGGTGGCAGTGGACAAGGACACACCCGACAGATGGGTCCAGATCCTCAGCTCATCAGGCTGACCATGGCATCTCTCGAGAAGACGACTCCTGCAAGCGAGATGACAGCCGACATCGTCAATGGCAAGATGATGGAAATCAAGGGGACGATGCTGCAAATGGGCATCAAAGTGCCAATTGCCCTGAACATGACCTTGGCCGAGTACGAGAAGAGGCTGGAGCGCTTCGGAAGGGCAGATGGGAGCACAACGATCCCATCGAAGGAGACGTCTCCCATCAAGACGGAAGAGAAGACTTCGAAGGAGACGTCAGGATTGGCATCGAGTGCACTGAAGGCACCAGCAACTCCGGCGACAACAGTTCCAGGATCTCCTCCAGATCTCCAAGAGAAGGGCCACTCCAGTTCATCAGAGCAGACGGCATGAAGGGTCCGGAGGAGGAAGAAAAGAAGGATTGAGCCAGGTGATTTGCGGCCTTTGGGACCGCTTGCGAGAAGTGAGAAGATGGCAGGGCAGCAATGGCCCATCACAAGACATCCGCATGTCTTGCAATCCCGTGCATCGCACACCAGCACCGAACTCGACAGCCGACTGTTCGAGCTCCACGACAAACACTACGAACACCACGAAAACCACGACAGACTTGAATCACTCAGGCCAAGATTCTCCGCCTGTTCGTGATGAGCATGGCACGATTTTTAGGACAACGTCAACGACACCTCCCCGAGTGTGGACCGGCACCACTATGAAGGCTGGCCAACAAGCAAAGGGACAACCACTTCCTTTGAACACGGTGAAGAAATTGGCAACAACAGCTGCCACCTTGGGAGCGATGATCATGGCACCAGTGCAAGGCCTGTTCTCCCAGATGAGTCTGGGAGTGGACTTCCAAGAGATTGCGCTCCCAACAGCTCCTTGAGTGCCTTCATGGAAGACAAGGGCTACACCATTCGCAGGGTCAACTACAAGAATGGATATGATCTCGAGACAAAAATGGGCACTCTCCGCCTGAAAGAGGAGATGACAACCAGTCCTGCGAGAATGTCATGGGTGTCTCTTCCATGCACCCGCATTAGCCCTCTCACCAACCTCACGGCCAGGACCGAGCATGAGCAAGCATTGTTTCTGCAGCGGCAAAACAAAGACTTGAAACGAGCAGATGAAGTTAGCCAGGCCATGTGTGTGAGCTTGGAGCAGGGCAATGACTTTGCATGGGAGTGGCCTACAGGAGCTGCGAAAGGATGGAGAGCAAGATGCATCACTCGGCTGATCCAGAAGCTCAAGGCTCTCGGCAGACCTGTTTTCTGGGCTCGATTCCATGGCTGTGCATATGGTCTATGCTATGCTGGCTACCCCATCATGAAGAGTTGGACAGTCTCATCCAATAGAGAGGTATGGCTGTCACTTCAGAAGATATGCCCAGGACATGAAGGAGGTCACCTCGAGTGCCGAGGAATGGCCGCTCAAGCATCAGCCTACTACCCACAGAAGATGGTCGAGGCCGTCGGAAAGGCAGTGATTGCATCTTGGACTCGAACAGAAGAAGAGCAGAACATCTCTCTGGCCAAAGACGTCCAGTTGTGTTTGCTTGAAGTTGATGAAGGGCACGATGAACAAAGTCCAGAACACAAGATCAGGGAAGAAGAACCCTCAGTATATGCCCTTCAGCGCCAGAGGTACTCCAAGGAAAGGCCAACTGGCAAGAAACTGGAGTCCATCAAGCAAACTATGCTGCGGATCCATCGTGCATCCGGCCACTCAGCAATGGCCAATCTTCAGAAGATGTTGAGGATGAGAAAGGCACCTGAATGGGCAGTGGCCTTAGCAGGAGAACTCCAGTGTCCAGCATGTGTGGAGGCAAAGAAGCCTAAGCCACCTCCGACAGCTTCCCTTGAGGATATGCCAGGCCTCTTTGAACAAGTCGGAACCGACGTGTTTGAACTGGAGTTCCAAGACGATGATGATGGCAACACCCAAAAGGCCAAGTTCATTCTGTGGCGCGATCGTGCCAGTGGTTTGGCCTTCACAGACCTGCTTCAGGTGTATGGAGGAGATGTTCGCAACTGGGAGCCCAAGACCTCGGACGTGCTGAAGTCTTTTGGCAAATGGTTGATGATGAACCCCAGTCCCAAGTGGGTGGTCAGTGATCCTTCAAGTTACTATACTTCGTCAGAATTCATCGACTACATGAGTCGCAGCGGGATCGGGATTTTGACCTCACCTGCAGAAGCGCATTGGGTCATGGGAGCCGAGGAGGGTTGCATCAACATCCTCAAGTCCACCTACAGACGACTGAAGAAAGAATGTCCCGCTATGGGAGTAGAGGACTTGATGAACTTGGCAACCCACGGCCACAACCAAACGATTGGACTACATGGGTTCAGTCCCTTCCAATGGTGCGAGGAAGTGATGCTCCAGAACCATCTCTCCCGGTTGGCATTCGACCAAAGGATGCATTTGATGGCATGCTCAAGCTAAAGGCCAAGGCAAAGATCGCCTATGAGATGGAATATGCCAAGAGCAGACTGAGCAGATTGTCAAACTCCGTGAGCCGACCTCCAAACTTGTTTCGCGCTGGATTTTTGGTGATGGTTTGGCGTCAGCACGGAGGGAAAGGAAGATGGGTTGGTCCTTTGAGGACTTTGATTCAAGAAGGCTCAACTGTGTGGTTGGCCACAGGCTCATCGATTGTCAAGGCCAAGACCAACCAGATACGGAATGTCACCACCAAAGAAGAACTTCAGGCTTCACTGGAGGGCACAGCCATCTACCGCATGCCTGTGACCATCGACTCCCTGCTCCGCCATTTCTCAGGGAAACACTTCACTAACATTTGCGGCGAAGCACCTTCGGAGTTGGAAAGACAGCAAGATCTCAGCGAAGCCAAAGTGGTGGTAGAGCCAAAGCCAGACAAAGTCAAGGCCGACCAATGGCGAATTCAAGAAGACAAGTGGTTGATCCGTGTCCACAATGCTCCCCGACTTGGACTATTTACGCCTCACCGCATGAACTCTTGACAGGTGTCCGGAAGACCTACGTGACACACTCCGTCCAGAACGCAAGACAAACAGTTCTGGAGGACAATTTTCGTGAAAGTGATGATCCCCATCGGCAACTCCAAGAACGATGGACAGGAGAGACGTGGTTCGAAACATCCACCAGCTCGGGCTCCGTTCCAAACAAACGAAGAGCAAAGGCAGAGAAGAAGGGCACCAAAAGGGTGGCCGAAGATGAACCTGGAACACCCCGAGAACATCCTCCTGATCCAAAGATCGAAGGCCGTCCAATTCCTCCTACTCCAGCCGGAATGCCAAGCACACCTCGACTTGGAGCAGAACTCGAAAGTGACAAAACTCCAGCAGAAAGAGGTGGACAGACTGTGATCGGTAACCGATGCACTGTGGCTGAATGCATTCTCCCAGGAGGACATGACGGACCTCATATGAACAGCTCCAACAAGCGATTCCACTGGAACTCAGTTGATGGAAACATTCCAGTGGATGAAGACTCCTCCTCTTCATCGTCTTCATCGATATCATCGAGCAGCAGCTCTGAAGAGATGATTCCAGAGAAGAAGCTGCGTGTGAAAAAGGAGACTTTGAAGAAGCGAAAGAAACCACCCGACAAATCAAGCTTTTACATGTCAGTGGACAAAGAAGATGTGTTTCAGCTTGAGATCGAGATCAAGCAGAAGGACCTCCAATACCTGCACAACCATCCAAACAGATCTACGATCTGGTTGTCAAAGAAGATGCAAGAGAAAGGACAAGAGAAGGAATGGGCACGCATGTCAATGGATGAGAAATTGGCATTTGACCTTGCACAGGCCAAAGAGTTGAGCAACGTCTTACAGTCAAAGGCTTTGCGGTCGCTGACAACTCAGGAGATGAAGCACCTGAATCCCAAGTCAGTGATGACGATGCGCTGGGTGTTGGTGGTCAAGAGTGACCAAACGGCAAAGGCTCGACTTGTGGTGTGTGGCTATCAGGCCCCAAACCTGGTCAATGTGCAATCCAGTTCTCCAACCATGAGCAGGTTGTCCAAGAACATGCTACTCACCTTATGTAGCAACAATGGCTTCCGCATCCGCGGAGGGGACGTCACGGCCGCTTTCTTGCAAGCGGATCAGAGCATGGAAAAAGACTGTTTGACCGTATGGGCCCCAGCAGAGCTTGCAGTTCTTTATGGAGCACCTCCGGAATCTCCAGTCATGCCCCTCCGAATCCGTCGTGCATTCTACGGTCTCGTGAACGCTCCAAGGGCTTGGTATGAACACCTAGTGCAGACTCTCACCAGCATTGGATATCGTCCGCTGCAAGGAGACCGCTGTGTGTTCATCCTGCAGGACCACAAGCAGGAAGGCTCGCCCGTGGTGAGCGCCCTTGGCATACATGTTGATGATGTGCTAGTAGACGGTGGAGACAGTCCAGTTTTTCAGACAGCATTTGAGCGTTTGCAACAGGCATACAAATGGGGCAAGTGGGATGAAGACAGTTTTGTTTTCACAGGTTGTCAGTTGAATGGGAAAAGTGATGGAGCAATCACCATGTCCCAAACGGAATACACTGAGCGCTGGATTGAAGAGATTTCATTGAGCGCCGAACGATCAAAGCAGACAAAAGACAAGGCTACTCCAGCTGAAGTGTCCGCATTGAGAGGATGCATTGGTTTCATTGCATGGAGAGCTTCCCAGACATCACCCCAGTTCCTTGCAGATGCTGGTTTGTTGCTTTCAGAAGTTCCATACGCCACCATTGACACTCTCAACAAGGCAAACAAGCTTGTGAGGGAGATGCGTCGTGAATCACAACAGGTGTTGACTTTCCATCCATGGCGGAGACCATGGAAGGAGATAGCAATCATTGCATGGGCTGACGCCTCGCAAAGGAACCGACCGGACGAAAGCTCTACCATGGGCATAATCGTTGGCATGGCGCCAATAGAGTTCCTGAGCGGGGAAGAGACAACAGTTTCTTTGGTACAGTGGAAGTCGTCCAAGTGCTTGCGACAGGTGATGGGCTCGAATGGAGCCGAGGTACAGTCAGTTACTGAGGCCGAAGACATGATTTTTAGAGCAAGATGTTTATGGGCAGAGTTGAATGGGCAAGTGTTTGCGCGACACACCATCCAGAAGGTGATCCGAGAGAACACGCATGGTGCAGTTGTGATGGACACTCGTGGAATTTTTGATGCTGCCACCCGAAACCTGTCGAGTTTACATGGCTTGAGATCAGCCCGCGCTGGCTATGAGTTGACGATTTCTTTTGCACAAGCAAGGCAGGTATAGGTACAGATTTTCGTTGGGTGCACGGAGGAGCACAATTGCACAATTGGGCGATAGCCTAACAAAATGGGCTTCAAGAAAAGTTCTTTTGCAGTTTTTCGCTGGAGGACAAAAGTGGAAGCTCATTCACGACCCCAAATTTGAATCGGGTCGGAAGGTTCGCAAGAAAGAGTTGGAGCGCCTTTTGAAGGAACGGCAAGATTCGTTCCTGGCAGCCGTCGAGAAGATGGCACATGATTGCCGCTACCCGTGGGAACCACATGGTGAAGATCTCAGGGGTTTTGGTGATGAGAGTTTAGGGATGAACATGTCGTACCCTTTCATATGTGAGCCTTCACCATGAGTCCATGTAGCCGGGTGGGATCGAGCTTGACACCAGGAAAACAGCCGGTAGACCGTTCGTTGGTCGTTGATGGTTCGCTAGTGGTTAGCGACACGCACTTCGAGAAGTGTACCAAGTTACCCTGCAAAGCTCCGTTACCAAGTGCACCAGCCAATGAGTGTGCAATGAGCATGCAATGCTGTAGCAGGTAATGGTGTGGAGATCAAAGTATTGCAAGCCGACGATGCCTCCTCCTGAGCAATCGGAGAGCGAGCACAGGGGTCGGCGGTCGGCGGGGAGTGCTTCCTCGGATGCTTCAGGACCTCCATGCAATTGGCTTCTCATGTTCCACAGTCATCCTTTTGGGTCCGAGTCCTCCTAGCCAAAACATAGATGGCATATGATGGCATATGATGGCATGGAGCCCCCCAAAGCAACGTTATGATTACCATCAATACATATGAATACCCTATTCGATATATATATATATATATATACATTTTAAGTATATTACTGCTCACTGCGTTATCCATGGGGTGACTGTGGTTTGGTCGTCTCCTCATGTTGAGAGGCTTGTGAGCTGCTTGATGCCGGAAAACGTTCTGGCCGTCCTGGGGTGCACCATCGTCACTCCTGCAAACAGGTTTGGGCACTTGATAGTGGCAGTGTTGAAGCAACTGGGGGCCAGATTGTTGGACTAGGTTGTGCGGTTTCAACACGAGGACTTGGATCCCATGGACAACTTCCTGCACTTGAGAACCCAAGCCCGCCCCAGCCCCTGCCTCGAAACCCACTGAAATTTGCCTCACAAGCCATTTCAACCCAAGTTGCCCTGCGAAAACATCCAGTTACCCTCGCGTTTGGGGCAGCACCGCCAGCCACTGACCCACCGCCTTCCAGTCGTCTTACGGTCCCCAGGCCCCACCGTCGTGCGTTGGAGCTGGTGATCCTTTGTGCCCTGAGCTCCACCGGCTGGTTGGTGGCCGCGAGCTTCTTCGGAGAGCGCGAGGCCGCGCGGGTTTCCCGAGCTTTCCCCGTTGGCCCCGGTGGAATTTCGGCCCCCCCCCAAATGTGGCGCTGAGGCGCAAAGTGACGACCAAGAGGTGTCCAAGTAGAATGAACTTTAGAGTCCAGTTGATTGATGTTGATTGCGTTTCCCCCCCCCGCTGTGCTGTTCTCAAGGACTCTGTGAATTCTCCTCTCGAGGTGGGGTGAGGAACAGGCTTAGGAACTTGTTCTCTGTATGGGTGAGCAAGTGCAGAAGCAACTCCCGAAGTTCTTGAGGCTCGTCGGATCTCCATTTCCCAGATAGTATGAGCTGATCCCTTCCCCTTATCAGAGCCTCAGCGCATCAAATTTTACTGCAAAAAATGGACAGATGATACGAAACAGTTACTGTACTTACAATTTCATTTTATTTGATTTCTTGCGAGGTGAGAACTGGTGGATCCCCCTTTGATGAACTGGTGCGTCTTTACTTCGAGTTCTCGGTCGGACAGAATAACTGGCGCGGGGCGACCTCCGCAGGCGACTTCCTCAGCTTTGCTTCCACAAAGTAGTGGTTGTATTAAGGACGATCTCAAAAATCAGGCGAGTTGGGTGGAATGTGTGAACACCAGTCGGGCCCCACATTGCAGATCTAGGCTGACAAAGCTAATTATGCTATTTGGTGAGATACTGCAGTTAACCAGGAGATGCTTTTTTGGGCAGGTGCTGACTAGAGAGAGTTGGGGTCCAGTTCGTGTGGGGGGAGGAATGGAATGATCTGATAGAACCAGCATGACCATGCATGACCTAACATTAGGTAGGACCCTTTGCAACCAGGGTCCTTACGGTAAGTAGGTGAGTTCCGTCCAGATGTTCTGCGTTGTTGCTGGGATTTTCTGTGCTCCTCGTGGGGTTTGTGTGGCGAATGATCTGGCGCGACCGCGGCCAGACGGCTTGGCGCGTTCCAGGGCGCAGCGAATCGGTGGACGGCAAGAAGTGTGGCAGGTTTGCGCCACATTTTTGGATGCTACTAGTAGCAACAAGATGCAACAAGCTATATTATAGTAACAACATGTAACAACGGCATTACTACAATAGTAAGAAGGGCATCGCTACTAGTAACCAGGGCATCCTTTGGATTACTTCGGCCCTTTTTAGCTCACATGTGGTCATCATGCAGGCCCTTCAGCGTTCACATGCGCCACGCCATTGCTAGAGCGCTTCGTTCGACCTTGGTCAACAGTGTTTGCTTTCGACCTGGGAGCTCATACGGTTGACGGTTGTGCGACATATATCCAATCATCCTATTGATACGTTCTGTCTCCCACCGACGGGTGGATGTTGCACTCCGCGACCCGCACCACCCAGTCAGTGCTTTTGAGTCGGACCGGGTCTCCCTGCCCCAACCCGCGGTCCGGGATCCACGCCGCAGCTCATCACCGGTTCCCAAGTGGAAGCCTCCACGAAGGGTGGACCGGCCGGGGCGCTCGGTTCGAACAGCTCCAGCAGGAGGAAAGCCGAGTTCGATCCTGACTGGGCTGACTGGGACGAGGAAAGAGGCAGTAAGCAACGAGGGAAAGAGAACCAGCTCAGGGGGAGCTCCAATGTTCCTGTTGCATCCTGTTGTGTAGTTTCAATAATATCTATTTTGTTTCACATATTTGAGATCTCACTCAAGAGAATGAGAGGGGTTGTCCAAACAGTTTGCGAGGCACCCTTTGTAGAAACATGCATGGCCTGCCAGAAGGGGACAGAAATGCAACAGCTTCATTCAACTCGAATCCAGCATGCGACTACAATCTAGTACACTGCCAGCGGAGTTTTATACTGGCTTGGAGGCATCCACAAAAAACACTAGGCAAGTAGATTGGGTAATCCAAGTAACTAGCCACCGCTTCATGTTGATGCGGCACTATAGATTAAAGGTGCTACAGCAAACGTGGAGGCAGCAAATTCAATATACATCAATATACTGTATCCTGCTAAATCCTGCTACCTTCAATGCAACCACCGAATTAGTATACCCACGAATTCAACAATGCTTTGGGATGCGTTCCTTCAGAAGAACTCCTCATGTTGCTCTAAGGTCCAACGCCTTTTTCCTGCCCCGTGCTTGTATGGCCGGGACGCTCGATTAGCTCAACAGATAGTGCTGTTATGCGCTCTCATCGGCCTAGTCTCAGGAACCGCCCCTATCATGTGACCTAGCTCCTACCATTTGGAATATCATCTAGCTCTTAAGGCTGTCCTAAGGTGGCTTGAAAAGGACCCAACCTTCCTTGTCGGATCTCGAGGGTCAAAGTCTGAGGATGCCACCACATGAGGCTTTGTTTTGGCGTGTGTGTGTGTCATTGAGTCAATGACCATGACCTTCAGTCAATATAGAACGTGCTTTCAGCAAAAAATATGAAACACATTGACACACTATTATTATGATCCATTATGCTGGTCCTGCTTTTCAACGGATAGTGTTTCTTCCTTCAGCTAGTTGCCTAGCAGCATGTGAAATGCCCGGCTGCACCTTCAGCTCACTTCAAAAGGTCGACTGGTCAGTTGCTGGGCGTTTCGGGTTCAGAGAACGCAGAAGAACAGAGTTTCCACACGCCTGCTGAAGCGACATGTTGCACGCACGACGCTCCATACATGGAAGATTTGCCAAAAAAACTGAGATAGGCTTTGGATGACACTGGTAGAACATGGCAAAGAAAACTAACCTTCCCCAACCCCTTCTGAAAGTGTCCATGTTTAGCTAAGGGTACCTACATTGGGGCGGTTGAAAGGAGGCCAATGTAGGGAATAGATATTTTCTTCCAATACCTGGAATATTTGGGACACACTCACGAGCCGTACTGAACCTTCTTGGGATCGTCCTTTAACAAATTAGCACATGAACGAGGCAATTCCATGGATGCAACTATATGTGTTCTCCCATCGAGGCCGCTTGGGTGTTCCCATTTGAGCTCGTTCCACAAAATGTGGAGCTATTGGACCGTCGCGAGGCCTACAATACAACACCGCATGCCGTGAGGCCATTGGTGCGACCGAAGACTCGGTCTTTGGCTTTGGACCGAAGACGGCGGGGTGTTTTCAAATGTGGCAATGTATACCCGCACGTGTTTTCGTTGTGCATGTTCGGCACCCACTACTGGCAATTCAGGGAGGAAACGCAGTAAAGGATTTTGAGACTCCAGGTGTAGATAGACAAGTGAACCCTCTATTAACATGTCTTGGACATTGTGTCCATCCTTCGCACTGCACAACAGTAACAGCGGCCACTGGCATCAGGTCCATCAACAAGCGGGAAGCAACAGTTATGCAAAAAGATGCGTGCAAGCTGTTTGGGAACCCAGTGGTTGACAATGGGAGTGTCGGGTTGTTCCGCACGGAACAACCAATCGTGAGAGTTTTCTCCGGAAAGGAGCGTCCATCGCGAGGGATGAGTAGCGCGGTTGGCAATGCCGGTTGTGAACGAGAGTGACCGAAGAAAGGTTGGACTGGGCAGTGACTGGTCACCCCGAATGATCGTTGGACATATCAATCACACCTCCTGCTCAACCCCAGACATTTCGGCCGCCTTAGGTGGAAGTTCGGGACATGTCTCGTTGTATTACAACGGTGAGTTCCCGATCCAGGGCTCCAAGTACATACATCAGAAAGTATTTGGACCTTCTCAACCCAGCCCAAACACCTTCTCACAAGGTACTTGGAGCCCGGATGGGCACACGATTATAGATGTTGGGTCATGTTTGGCTACTACTAGCGATGGCCTCCAACCTAATGGCCTCGAACCTGCAGTAATAGTGATGGCCTCCACCCTAATAGCGATGGCCTCCACCCTAGTAGCGATGGCTACCCTCCGGATGGGGGACCACCTGGTTTTCACACCCGACAGCGGTTTTTGGAGTCCTGGACGACGAGGTGAACACTTCAAGCATGCGGGCACGTCCTGACTTCCAGGCCCGTCCGGCTCGAGAGACAACATTTGCTGGAGACTGGGATGAAGCGCAGAGGTCCGTGGTTTTGGTTCAACACCATTTCAGCACTTCCAACATTACTCCAAATGTTTTTGAAGGCATTGGTCATGAGCCATGCTGCAGGCTTGATGCGGGGTCGGCTTCTCCAGAGGGGTGAGGATTGACAAGGATCCTCTCCACTTGCCTGCGAAAAGACCCCAATGAACATTGAACAGCAAGCTGATCAAATCGGTTGGTGAGCATTTTGCCGGAGCTATGTTGAACAAGGGTTTTTCATGTGTTCTTTCAACGTTTCCTTTATGAATGGCCCGTAGGTGGTCTAGCAGTGTGTCAGCGCCCGCTCAACATGCCCTGGGAAGCTCCCTCGGACCAACGGAGGCTCGAGGCCAGGAGGTTGAGTCCTGCAGGACTACTGCTGCAGCTTTAGCGATCTGAACTCCTTGATGAGTGGTGATTATCAGGTGCCTTGTGGGCAAAGCAGCTGGGATATGCTGATGCCTGCTCAGGATTGTAGGGGAACTCTTCATGAATCTGTTAGAACCTGAGCAGGAGCTGCATGTGCATTTTGCACCAAGCAGGGGTTTTGGTGAGAGGCTATATAGTTAGTGTAGAGCTTGGTTGCGATGTACATCGCTAGCTTTGCATGTGACACTCACGCCATGTAGTACGCTTGAGGTGGATGTCCCGTACATTCCCGTACACAGACCTGTTCCATAAGGGGTTTTCAAGGGAGGTGGATGAATCATGTTTTTTGTGTTTTTTTGGTGTTGTTTTAATATTTTTCCTTTAAATGTCCCTTTCATTTTCCTTTAAATTTCCTTGCAACGGAATGAGCGTATGGCGACGGAAAGCATCAGCAGCAGCTGTTTTGAGACACTTTGTGCCGACATGTGCCGACACTGCTTCCTAAGACTGGGCAGGTGCCAGGCAACGCCTCTTGTGCCATGGATTTGGGGAAGGCGGCGCCCAGCTTGACTGGAGGTGATGGAGAGAGCCCTTTCCTCAGAAACTGGAAGACCCTTGCGACAGGAAGCGTAGTTGCCGGGCAGCGCCTAAAGTACAGTATCATTTTGTGCGTGTTTGCAAATATATAGACTTATACTTATATCTATTTGTATAATCTTCTATGTCTATTTAGTAGTTTTAAGCGTGAGAAACAAGTTTCAATAAGTAGGACAAACTGTTTGCGTGCCCAGCTTGTCGAAGGCTTCAACTCCGTTGGTTTGCTGAGTTTGGTGCCCTTTAAGACAGCTTGTGCCAAACTCAGATCGAAACCCGGAGAGTCGATTTCGCTTTGCCCTTAGCCTTAGCAGTTTTATTGTAAAGAACCTGAAGTGCTATAGCAGGACGATCAGCTTGGTTGTGAGGGTTTTCAGGCTCCCCATGCTTAGAGCAAAGGCTGAGGGTCCTCAAGTGGAGCGCTTTGAAGTTCAGCTGAGAGACTGGGACAACATTTGCGTTGGTCAAAGGGCGATCTTCATTTCGTCCTGATCCTGCAACAGCTGCGGCCCCGTTCTGTTGTTGGCAGGCCAAAATCTCTTCGAACGTGGCATCCCCCATGCAGCCACAGACTCAGAAACCCACGCGAACATCAGAATTGTACATAACCATGGCAACCTCACGTCCAATGCAGGTTTTGTTGATACACGGAGGGTTTGGAAGAGGATAAATTGTGTTGTCACAGAGGTTCCCATAAGGTTTTGGGCCATGATAGTTTGGAGGAGTCATCATTGATAGACTTCTGGGCCCCTCTCACCATTGGAACTCTTCCGCTTTCCATCGTGGCTGCGCGGAGGTCACCTTGGAGGCTATGGGGGTCTTCCTCGTGCACAGCTCAGATGGCAGGAGCTTGGAAAGGAGACACAGCTCATCCTGACAAATCATCTACTGTCGTAAATTTGTCCGCGTTTTTTCACCCGCATTCTGGTGCTTAGGGTCGTAGAAGTAAGACCTGCTTTGATTGCTTCGGAGACTGCCATGCCGATTCATCACACTTTGAGTCTACAAGGTTTGCAATATTTTTACTGTAATTGGGTTGTTTCTTCCATCATGGTAATAGAGAGATTCTTTTGGTTGATTTGTTCTTGATGGATCTTGATGGCACCGATGAACAATTCACATGTCACCTGTGGCCCTCAGGTAGATAGGTTTGGCTCAGTGGCCCTCCAGGCTACCAACCATCAACGAATCTGACTTGCTGCAATCCGATGGACTTGGGCCCCACACCGGTTTTCCTTGGACGACGGGCGTGCAATACACCAGGTAGATCGTATACATGACATACATATGTACGTGTATATATATATATACATATGTAGAACTATATTTATACATGTTAATATTCATTTACAACATAGAAACAACAGTTCAACAATATATTATGAGAAATGACATTTTGTATTTGTTGGATCTCTGCGGCGATATGGAATGCCCGCGGCCTTGCAAATATGTACCGGGATTTGTCGATGGCTCCTTCCACCCAAGCGGACCGTCAGGTGATTTTCTTTGTTTTGGCGGCGCTCACCGCCGGGTTCGGGTCCCAGGGGAATGTTCGGGCCATGCAGAGAACATGCCGTGCAGTTGAAAGGGAACTGCGGTCCAACCCCCATCCAACTGCAAAATATGGGTGTGAAACCTTTGAGACGACGAAGGCCTGAAGGCAAGAACAACCAGTCCGGATGATTTTGTGTGACGGCGTCCTTCGTTGGCGAAATAACAAACATTGGCGGGCAGATGGTTAGGAGATTCCATTCATCGGCTTGCATGGATTTCACATCCTAATCAGCTGGTTTTCCCGGTGAATTCCGTGCAGCCATGCTGATGGATAGAACATGATAGAACCTACTCCACCACGTAGAAGAACTCACACGTTGGTCCAAAATTCTCCACTTTCCAGGGTCCTACTGTATGTCAACAGAGTGTATATAATGGAGTGCGGAATGCTCCAAGTGCGTCAGAGTGCATCCATCCTCAAACCGAACCCCACGGGGGAAACCGCGAGGTCAGCGATCCCATCGGGGCTGCTGATGCCACAGATGGTGACTTGGAGATGACCAGCACCTGGTGGACATGACAAGGACCAGGATTTGGGGCAGGGAACGCACTCAGAGATGCCCCGGCGTAATGATTTTCCTGCCAGGGTTGAACCACACAATTAGTGATTTTCAGAGCGGCAAGGACAGATGTTCTCTCAACTTTGGTGGGGTCACCGTATATATCACCTGACTAGGGGTAGTCCGAAAAGCAGTCGGGGCAAGTGTCCAACCAAAGGCCCATGATGCATGGTGGGGCCCTCTGCAATTCCATGTGAATCGGAGATCGACACATATCGACACAAAGCCCACATTGAGGAACCAGAACTGGCAAACTGGTAAACACCTGGATCTCTGACTCAAAACTGCAGCAACCTGTGGGCTTGGGCCCCTGCATGGGGCACCTTCCCCGCTCTATCATCTCTATCGGGATCCAGACCTTCGAGGTCATCGGTGGCCTTATAGGGCGGATGCTGGCTTTGGCCACGCTGAAGCTGCAGAGCAGCCAGGGCCAAGGCGCGACGCGCGCGCACGCGCGCGCCATGGGCAATGGCGGCTCCCTCAGACAAGCATGGAAGCCATGGTCTCCCAGGGGCCCAGGGGCCGACTTGTTCCACTGCCATAATTGTTTCAGGACGTTTCAGGGAATGTTTCTTGGTTTCTCTCATGAAATCTCACTCATATGTTTGATGTTGCTACCCCAGTTTGAGGAAAAAACAGAATTGCTCCATGACACATCATGAAACAAAAACTCCAAAACGGGAGAGAAGTAAGCGCGCGTTCTTTGCAACGTGTTCATTGTTGGACAATGTTGGACTTCATAAGACCGATGGGGAACCATTGTCTTCACGCGACGGAGAAGTCTATTATATATTTATTCATGAGTCGATCTAGATGCCCGGCCCAATCCACTGTAAGGACAACTCTAAGAGACGAAACGAAAAGGGCCTATTCAGTGGATCTTCAGGCATCTATGTATCAACGCAGGACTTTCCCGATGTGCGCATAATCAATAAGCACGCATCCGCAATCATTGAGGTGGTATGTGCATAAAAACTGTTCAATTTGGAGTGCACCGGGGATCTGTCGCTGGCTGTCACCGTTCATGGGGATCCCAGCATCGGTCCACCGCCCTAGGCTCGTTCTGGGCTGAGCCGCTGGGGGGGCCCGGCCAAGCGGAGTTTGGGGTAGAAATCCATTGCCACAGTGACGATAGATCCCATAATTATCTGCATAGGGTTTCTTGCAGTACGCACCACTGCAGTCTCAACGGACTTCTTCATGACCAACTGCAGTGGCTTGGAAATTGGGATTGTGGGACATGTTAGTTATGGACGGGTGCGGAAAGATTGGGTATTCCGATGGATATGGGTCGACCAACACTGGAGCGGGGACAACCAATCGCTTGGGATGTTGAGTGATGTTGGTTATCGCACACATCAGATCTCCCATACACAGCTGGTGCAGTGCAGTGCATAGTGCATACACAGCTTAGATGCCTGCCTTGGCACAGTCAAGTCGCCCCATGGTCCCTGGTTGTCACATGGTCCATGGGAGCCCTATTTTGCCTGGTTTCCGCAATAGACATAGAAAACTATTTACACTTGAAGACTTATATTACTATTTCATACTATTTGTTTTTTTTCCCTCTCTCTCTCTCTATAGATGGATTTATTTCAGAACCCGGTGCTTCCCCGCAAGTCTCCACAATCCCCCAAATCGCTGTCTCACTCGCTCTCCAGCCCAAGCTTTCCCAGGTACCGAGTGTTGTTCGACGAAGGCGGGCCAATGGGGAGAATCTCATGGCGAGCGCTCTTGGAGGGCTTAGATACTTGTAGACCTAGCACAGGCAGTTTCGGAGCTGGAATTCTTACACCCATCTCCTCAGCATCCTTCAGAATTGTAAGCTACATCACCCCTCCCAAAAGCTTTAAACACAGCTGCAACCTTCCCTAAAATCAGCCATCGGCGCCATCACCGCATCGCCGCATGACAGGCTTGTTGCCGGGCGACTCGTCCATGGTCTTCGGCACCTTGGGGCTCTTGGACCCGGGCATCGGCGCCTTGATCGGTGCCGCCGCCTTCCTGGGCGGCAGCGGCCGGGTGGGGCGCCCGGGTGTCGAGCGCGGAGATCGGTGCCGCGCGGGTGCCGCGGGGAGCAGGGAACGACTTGGGGACTTGGGGGGGTAAAGGGGATGTGAAGGAGTGCATGGGATTGGTGAAGCTTGAGGCCGTGGGTTGGTGGGTGATGGTGTGTAGCGGATGGTCTAGGAATGAGGTATCCAGCATGCTTGTGTTGAACAAGCTGATTGTAGGCATTGGGCCACGGCAGAAAATGTTGATGGAGGACCTTACATGTCCAGTTTGGGGGTCGCACCAGCTCTCGGAGAAGAGTCTAAGTAAGTGCTGGTGCTCAATGTTTGTCAGGCTTGCTGCTTGCCTCTTTCAACCCGCATGATCTGAACCATCAATTTCATCTAGATGAATTGTCCATCCCCATGGGAATATTCACTAGGAAATGGGGAGCCCCAGGTGCCCCAAATCGGGGTCTTTTTATAAACAACACAAACTTGCTCGAAAACTCTAAAATCTGGAGCCCCAACAAACATCAAACATTGAGCTTTTTCTAGATTTTCAATAATTGATGTCAGTCCTGATTTCATAGAAAGTGTGGACGAGTAAAGTCGATGAAATATGAGGAGGGTGGGTGCCCCCCATTTTAGAGAGACCTCAATTTTATAATAGAGTCCGAGAAGTCATTATGAAGCTGAATTCCTTATTTTATAGAGAAGAGCTATGTATCAGAAACATATAAACACAATGAAAAACAATTATAGAAACAATAAAACAACAGAAATCAACAAGAAACATCAAGAAACGTAAATATGACAAAGCGCAGCCGTCGCAGCATGAGCTTCAGACTGTGGTGGAGGCGATCTATGTAAGAGAAGGATGCAAACATTTCAGAAACGGACAAGTGTGGTCAAAACATGTTGTACATTGTTACGTTGCCTGTTTACTTAAAATAAGGGTCAGGGGTAAGGCGGTAAGGCCTATTTTGGCTACTCTGGACAACTCTCGCATGTCGTTCCTGATTTCATAGAGTACATTTTTTTGGAAATCTATTTTCAGCTCGAGGGTGGGTGCCCACATATTATAGGCTGTCCATTGTGGGATTCAGGCTGATTTGATCATTTTATGGATACTTTTGGTGTACCCCTGAAGTCAGTTCCCTATAAAATTGCGCTTCCTTTGCAATTCACCAGGGGATAATTTTCCTAAGTTCTGGACACTTGTTTCGAACCGACCCTCTCCGGCTGCACAGGTCACGCTCTTCACCACGATCATGATGGTGGAGATCACAGGGGATCCAGCCGCTGACACACATTCTCTCGCGCTTTGAGCGGGGGCAGCGGCGAATTCCAACCAAAACTCGAGCAGTCGACTTGATCCAGAACTTCCATGCTTGCGACCAGATTGGGGTTCCTGTGGGATAGAACCAAACAACAATCCGACCAAGCCAGATGTGTCCAATTTCCCGGGGCTCAATTGACTAGCATTCGCCAGCCTACCCTCCGATCTTGGAAGCCTCAATATGAATTCACCTCTACTCTACAAAATGAGTTTGCTCCTCTTCCACCATTGCTGAAGGGAGGTCCTTCGGGAATACTGTCACTGGTCCAGACCCCTCAGCTGTGTAGCTACTTTCAGACTGATGGATTTCTGACACAAGGGGAACTGATGAAACATTCATTTGCGCCTTTGGTTCGCTCAGGAGGTTCTACTTCCGACCTCTCGCGATAAGCCTACTTCCGACCTACACGGAAACATGGAAATGCTCAGGGAATGCTCTCTGTGCATTTGTCTTCTCAGGTGTTGGGGTGTTTCTGTGGCGTTTCTCAGCAGCTTTCCAGGGGGTGCAGCGTTCCCGCCCCGTGGGACCACGGTGCGAACGGCCCGACTCACTGGGCCGGAAAGACGGCCCAACGGCCCAACGGCCAAGTGTGCGAAGGTGCACCAGATTGAGTCTCTGAGAAGAACTGTGATTGCTAAGAATATCTAAGCCTCTAAGCACTCTCTATATCATATCTATATATAATAATTAAGCACCTTGCTGAACTTTCGCATCTGACGAAAGCCGCGTAGGCTTTCGTCCACCGAGGTGATGATTTTCCCTGTGGGCTTTGCGACCATCTTTGCCGTGCTCATGGGCAATCTGGAAGCGGTTCATTTCAATCGCGAGATTTTTCTCACAGGGCGAATGCCGGCGAACGCCGATTTCGTGAGGATCCATGAACGAACTCATTTGTCTATATACTTGGCGTGACCGAGATTTGGGCGTGTACTTCCATGAAGCTTCCATGTGGTGAAACCGAGATGGGCTGGAGCCCTTCTGCAGTGGGTCTATGGCTTCTCCGTTCACACTCGTTTTCTTTTGTCTCGAAATGAGCCCTTGGACATCATTTACTACCTGCCCTTGGACATTGGACACTTCATGGAACTTCTAAGATTCTAAGGTCTTGAAACTATATAAAATCAGGTGAGGACTAAGTTATTCTTGAACAGTTTCAATCCCCTCATTCCCCAAGCAACAAGGAACACGTAAACTGCCTACAATATCAGACATCCAGTAGAAAAAGAATCCTCGTATTTGGACACAGTTTCGGAATGCAATTATTTTATTGATTTTTTTCTAGACCACTTTTATCTGAGACCAGCTTATGCCACTGCTTCGAGCTGTGCCTCTTCACCATAAATTGGGCTAATTTGATCCCACTAGATTCCTTCAGTTCCTGGCTGGACTAAGGCAGGATTGTGAGGTAAAACCATGGGACCTCATTGTGAGGTAAAACCATGGACCTCGTGGCATTTGTAAATGTATATAACTTGATAGGTATTTGTATACCAATATGTTTTAAAGCAAGTGGAGGATACCCCCCAAAGCGGGACAATTATAAATATACATATATATATATATATATATTATGTGATTTCGATCAAATCATGCATACATTTTAAACACGGCTGCATTCCCTTTTCACAAGTAGCAAACATGTACAACTATATTATATATAGACATATTGCTCAGATGGCTTCCCACCAAAGCCGGGGAAACAAGTTGGGCTTTTGTTAGGCTTTAGTGGGATTTGCTCGGGAAATCATGTGAAAGGGTGTGAGACGGTGTGAGAAGGATCAATAAGTCATATGAAATGGTATGAGACATGGATCAATTGTGGAGTGCCTTTCATCATTAGCGTTCATCACTGACACAGACTGACTTTGAGACGATGCTGAAAAGGACTGAGCTGAGTGAAACTTTGTGGACATCATGCTTAGACTGGTTTGGGAGAGAAGTGTTTAGTTTTGGTAGGTTTATTTAGGTAACAGCGGGATTCATCCAGCTTATGCAGGGAGCCTTGTGGGGTTCATTTTGATTCTTGTGGCCACCAGCATTCAGCAAGCATCAAGCGAAGCGGTATCAGTATTTTTTTGGGTGTATCTTTGACACTGGTCTGAAATCGGCATATCCAAGGCAACATGATCAACCACGGCCTTTATCACTCCCTCATCGATGTGCCCTGACAGCATTGAAACTGCAGATTGGTGCACGGCCTGACCGTTGGAGGAAAGATCAGGTGCCTTACATCCCACACGCACACACACAGCACCATTAAGAAGGAACGGGTGCTGATTCTTTATAAACGCAGGGGGTGCATCCGTCAATTCAGGTCCTGTATGAAAGGCCCTAAGGCTGCACACATCCTTATGCAAGAGAAGGCAATCTCTGGAAGGTGTTTGCATGATTACACCCTGGAAGACTAACATGGAACCTGAAAACTCCTGGTTGGTAGAGGAAAATCGTCTTCCATGGGACCAGGACGGGCCCGGCTCTATGTTAGTGTGGAGTGTCAAGCGACCGAGTTCTCTCCGAGTCTGAGGTGCAGTCCACCCCATACTTGCCAGACACATGGCAAGCTGATCAGCTACCTCCAGGAATCCTGGCAGGAGCCTCAGATCTTCAGCCCGGCACGCTTCCCGGAGCCCCAAATCGACCCGGCATGCCGACCACACCGACCCGGCGGGTACTGCGGGACATGACATGGCGCGCCAGGTCCGAGATATGAGACCTCAAAACCCGCCCATCATGGTCTCCTTGAAGCGGGGGCGTGAGGGCATCAAGAAAGCTCTCAAAGGACTGGTGGAAGGAATCTGGTGTCATGTGACTCGGTGTATCCCGCAGGGCCGGGGGGGCAGAGGAGTCGAAGGAAACCGAGGAGTCGAAGGTAGAGGTGAGTAGAGAGGTTCGAACAGGTTTGGGGATGAGACGTGATTAATAGAATCCATAGGGCCATAGGGGGGGAAGGTATTTGTAGTGTTTGCTTGGCCTAGCCACTGCAGAATGTTCTGTGAACATGTGAGTAGGGGAGCTGTGAAATGTACTGGCATAGTGGTTGCATGCGATATCATGTGGCCCCCCGGAATGAAGGATACGCGTACAATGCCTCGTGCTCCATTTCGATGCAAGGAATCTTAACAGATATTATGCTATATATCCTCGTGCCAATTTCCACTACCAAATGGGTGGCCTCAAGGCCACTACAAAACCCAAAAACGGTGCATTTTGTATAAAATGACATTTTGCATGTCCCATTGCGTTCTTTAGTAAGATGCTGTGAAATGCACCCCCAGACGTCAGGCAGAACATTTTGTAGAGGGATGTTGCCGGGCATTTTTTTTGGGAGAACTCTGAACCTCAGGCAATTCATTTTTTTTGTACAGAGCCACTTGATCACAAAGAGAGGTTGGGCCTTTCATTTTGTAGAGATTGACTTGAATATGCAGCCAAACTTTTGGCTTGAAAAGCGAACTGAGGGGCATGCTAGATGTACCGGCATAGATCTAAATCCAGGAAAATACTACAGTGTTGTCCTATCAGCATGCCCGCTGCTGTACCGCCGGGACTTTTTGTAGTGAGCGTTTTTTGGCGCTTGCTGAGGGGCATGCTTGAGGTTGTGCAATACATTTTGTAATAGCTCTAAATCCCATACAGTATGTGTTTTTTCATATAGAATGGTTGGGGCCCTTGATTTTGTAGTGCACCATAAATCCATAGGTCATTTTGTAGCGCTGTGTTTTTGCATGGTGCTTTCCATTTTGTAGCAAAAGAGGTTGCGCAAACCGCTCTGTACTACAAAATGTATTGTCCAAGGCCACCTGGTAAATTGCAAAGAAGATTGCTATATTATAATGTATGTTTTTGAATGTTTAAATATGTTCATGATAGACGCATATTATCAAGCGGGGTGGATTGATCCATATTATAAGTCGGTCATGGTCGGACAGTTTTCTTATCATAGCTTCATAACCGTGTCAGATGTGTGGTGGTCGCAGGCGTTTTTCTCCGCAGGAAATGACTTCACGGGGTTCCCGCTGGTGGATGAGATCGAAGTGTTGAGGGATGCAAAGCCAGACAACACCGATGATGACTTTGATGGCAACCACGTGGTGGTCGCAAGCTTAGAGAGGGTGAGCTGATTTTTAGGTCGGGCGGGGCGCTGACAGGATTTCAGGTTGGTTCCCTCATAGTTGAACATGAAATACTAATATATACATTGCATAGGGCACGCCAGCCGGGAAGATTGAGTGACCAAGTGGGGGGCAAGCGAGGCAAGTGGCAGCTACGAATTTCATACAAGTACTTAAGTAGATATATATTTAATTTATTTCATATTTTGAATAGTGTGTATTATATTACTGTATTGTATATATTTTATCTATAGTTCTTTTTGGTTGGTGGGTTTGACAGGCTAAGGACGAGCGCTTTTCTTAAGGCTCTCCCCAGTGGCCTGCTGTGTTCGCAATTATGCCCACGGAAAACGCTTGCTGTTTGTGGTCAGTGGTGACATACACCTCATTGCCATTGATGCTTCCACAACAGGGCTATCGTTTTTTTTCTGCCACACTGCTATCGTTTTCGGAACATTGTCATCGCGACGCCGTTGTCGTTGGAGGGCAGCATCAGCAGGCGCACAGCATTGTCATCGTTTGCGCAACATTGTCGGTCAACATTGCTATGTTTCCCACAACATGGTCATCGGTGGCGCACTACAGACACTGTAAACCAGAATGTGTGGGGTTCCCCACAGCTTGGATATAATGCTTGGCTCAACAAGCTAGGCTGTGAACAAGACATCTGACATCTGGTAGCAAAGACCAAGCAGTCTCTGGGTGTGAGAGCAGTCTCTGGGTGTCATCCGAAACCCGGATGGTTTTGGCATGTGAAACGTTCTGGCCATTGAGGGAATCTTCCTCATTTCCGCTCGTCCGAATCCCGTCGGAGTGTTCCTGCTTGTTGCCAAGTGTTTGGTGCAACGATATATACTATATACAACCGGACCAGCCACCTATCAGCCCGCATTAAAGATCCCGCTTTTGATTCTACAGCTGATCTGTTCCTGCGACTAGGGTTCCTCTTCGCGAGGACTTCATTACTCCATGCTATTTTTTGCTTCTGAGACGGAGGCTGCCCTACATTTTTGAGATTTGGGTTCCGTATTTTGTTTGGATCATGCCTTCCTTGAAAACAGCGACACCCCTTGGCCCCGTTGGCCGCCTTCGCAAGCGAGCGTTCTCGTTCTCACGCTTGAGGTCGTGGGCATGTGTGACCGCAAGGACTTAGAGGCACACACCCAGAGGAATTGTTTGATTTTGAGGTCAGGTAGGGCCCTTCTGCTGCGCACATCTGCGCACTGAATGCTCAGTGTTTTGGTTTTGAGGTTCGTATATAGTATATGCGAGATCTTTTACTTGGGCTTTTGACAACATTTCAATGACCCTTCAAACATGTGGAAAAGCACCATGTCTCTTCTCAGACATTTGCTTTTGGAGTTTTTCACTTGTTAAACAATCAACCTGGACGATTCACCAAACTTTTTCGGGATGTTGAGATGTGTTCAAAAAGGGTTCCAAGGTCTTTTTGTGCCTCATCCACAAGGCCCGCTCCAAAAAGGAATGGTGTAGAAACGAAACTGTATCAGAGGGGTTCGCATTTCGAACTGGGGCTGATGATGTTCCGATACTGCATAGTGGTCCCCAGATAGATGCATTTTAGTTATAGGATCTACTTTTCTATATATTGGGAGTCTATATATATATGTAGAAAAAATGTCATTTAGATCTCCACGGTTTCGATGGACCCCTTCCACTCTCCAGTGACGAGCTGCATTGACCAGTCTGCCGTCTCAGGAGCTACTGGAATCGGAAGATGAGATCACGGCGGAAAGGTCCCCTGGAGCTCAGCTCTTCTCGAATGCATGGTGAAGATGGTGAGTGCTCAATCAAGTTCAATCATGTCGTGCATGGTGTGACTCTGTTGGGGGGGGAAGTGTTTGTGGAAGCATAGGCTGAGAGTGGTTTTGTTTTTAACAGAGGGGTTTTCAGCCACTGAAGTATGAATGACACCAGCACCTCAACAAATACTCGGTGCATGACGAGAACCAAAAACGATCCTTCTTGGCCAATGCCGCCAGGTTGAAGCAGTGCTCCAACCTGTATCCAGCCAGAACCTAAGTGATGGGGGGGGTCGTGGCTGCAATGTGGTGAAGATTGCAAACAAAAGCCTAAAAGGACTGGGATCAAACTTGGCCCCAAATCAATGCTTTGGATAAGGCCACAGCCCATGTCGCATTCCAAGCTTTTTTTTGGCCGCTGCTCACGTCCTCATGACAATTCTTATGCACCTGGCCAAATATCCATCACAGCACCCCCCAAAATCTCGTGCGGCTGCCAGCCACGTGCTGGGGGGGTGGCGAACAACGTGTTCTCACGAGTTTTGCCAGGTCACGGTGCGAGACAACTTCCCTTTGCAAAGTGCCTACCAGCTCTTCAAGAGCATGGACAGCTGGGAGCCGCTGGGAGTTTGGCGCTGAACGGATTGTACTGGCATCACAGATGCCAAAGTAGGGTCTGAGTGCCAACGAAGCCACAACTCCATTTCACTTGAAGTGGTGGACCGTTTCCGTAGATAGGAGTTGGGGACTCCTCTCTTGGCTTGTCGTTTTCCAGCACCCCCCATAGCAGCGAAACCAGGAGTGCTTCCAGCTTGCTGGGCTCCCCAAACACCCCAAACACTTGTCCAGGACATGAAGAACTTGGTCGTCGTGGACGATAACCACCGACCCGTGGCGGCCGGACGGGTCGGACCTGGTGGGATTCCACCGGATGCGGACGTTCGTGCCTGGATCCGGAACACGGAGGTCGTGTGACCGCTGAACAGGAGGAGGATGGTCCACGAAAGAGGAGGTCGACGGGCTGTTTGTGCTCACGAAAGGAGTCACAAAACAGAGGATGGTCTATGATTTTCTTACGTGGTAGGCAGAGATGATGGCTTCCAGAGAACTTTCTAGGTGAGGCTTTTGGAACGCATGGGCCAGCAATGTTGTGGCCCCCAGGCGGAGGCGTGTAGGATCTTGAGAGCTTTTGAACCCCCATGACACACTTACATATATATATATATATTTAGCTATATATACATCTATTATATACATGTATTTTGCATATGTACCCACATCAATGCAGATCTAACTATGTGCTTTTTGGTCTTATCGCCTACCATCCGCATGTAGACACGCAAGCCCCACACATGTTCGGCCAACACTGCTGGCCACCGGTATTTGAGTAAAGAGTTTGGATGGATTGGATGGACCCCGGCTCTTCATTCCTCCGCACATGCACGTCCCCCCGGGCTCTTTCCAAGCGTTCAACCCCAGGCTTTTCGATCGCCCACGGGTGCAGCTGTTCGCCGTGGGCCGGTCGTGCCGTTGGCGAAGCGAACGGCGCAGGTCATGACACGCTTCGCCTTCCTGGCCTGGCGCGTCGCGGAGAGGCCGAACGCGCGACGGGAGTCGGGGAGCGGCAAGGAGGTGAGGCAGCGTGCCATTCCGATGTGAAGTGTTTTGTTTGTTTTACTAGTCGCAAGCTACTGGTAAATGAAGTCCAGGATTAATATCCCTGTTACAGGCCAACAAAATGGGCGTGCTTAAGCACTATTTTATAATATATTACTACATAAACAATGTGACTTTTGGACAATTTGGGTGTATTATGAGCAAACGATGTCAACATTCAAACAACATGCTTGGTTGTGCGTGCTAACCTCTTGAGATCTCTTGAGACCTAGCCTTAACCTATCATGTTATATTATCTTAAAACACCATTAAAATTATGAAACACTAATTTCATTGACCGTCACGGCATTTTTTGAAGTAAGTCTCATTGATTTTCAGACCCGTTTTATAGTACTTTTATTAGCTCTTTTCTAGAACGTCTTTTTGCTGGACACATATTTGACCTTTTGCAACCCATTTTAGATGGTCAATTTTTGACTACAATGAGCATGTTTAACCTCTCTTCTAAGTAGCAACAGGGATGGATTAACAAGGAATCCAGGAGTAGATGGCACCTGGTGTCCAAGATGCTTGATATGTTTGGATTGGGGACATGTTTGCCTCATATTGCACCTGTTGGGCTTTAAAACGACAGGTCACCATCCACTCGCCCAATCGCGAACTCCTTTTGTCCAAAAGACGCTGGCTTCCATGGTGGTTTTGGTACAGGGACCAGGCTCGGAAAGATTGCGAGCACTTTTGTGAATGATTGTGAAGGGATTACCACGACTTGACGTTTCACTGCTTTTCCCTCTCAGGATTGAAAGAACCATTCAACCATTCATTGTATGATCCAGTAGGGAAGACTTCTCAGCTCGAGCCGTGAGCCAACATGGAACAAATGCAGCCGAGTTTTTTGATGTTACTACACAAACCAGGCATAATTCATTTCTCTCCCGTGGGTCCACATGAAGGTAGCTAGTATATGGTAGTATCTATTGATCTATCCCAAACATGGTAATCCACCATAATCCACCGCTTACATCCACTGATTTATACCTTCTGCGAGAAGGTGGTGGGACTTTGCAGCCATTTTTGGGGTCCAACGTGCCCATGCTTGACATGTGGCAGACCGGCCGCTAGGCTGCCGGCAGACCGGCTCGAAGAACTTCAGAAGCGGGAGAGACAGAGGCCCCGCATGCAGTAATGAGCAGTGAGTGGTCGGAGACAGAGGCAGGCTCACTTCCTGAACCAATGAGTCACATGGAAGAAGAAGAAGAAGAAGAAGAAGTGCAGTTTGGGATAGGGTCACCACTGAGTTTTGATTGGGATTGTTAACTCATATAATGTGTTACCATATTCTATGAGTTTATGGATTGAATATGTTTTTGCAGTTTTTGCATGCCAATGTCAATATCACACGTGCTGTTTCATGTCCTGAACTGCCAGTTCCTTTATCCTTGTGGCCTGCCTATATGGAATCAAACACCATCGGGGGTGAAAAAGGGTCGGTATAGTCCGGGTTGACCATATCAGTAGAAAAGGGAGTGGTGGCAGACTTCAGAGACATTGGATTGCTTGACCACTAGTTGGCTTTTAAGCCATATGACCCGCAGAAACCCACAGAGAAGGTCAAAACAGCAGTTTCAATGATGTGCTTTACGATGTTTTTCAATCTTCGTCGCTGGTACTTCAAGTGCACATGGCAGCCAAAAAGAAGATATTTGCGCCGTTGTGACGACAGCACTTGTGGTGAGCACACATGGGACATCGACGGCTTCGCAGGCACCTTCTCCGCAGTCACAGCCACGGCACTCAGTGCCGACAAACAGTGACGATGACAAGTGAGATGGGCACAGTGCCATGTTAGTGCCCCGACAAAGTTGCCCGTTGCTGTTGATGAATCACCCCCATATATGCAGATGTAAAGCCATTCGGTACGGGGTTTGACTAATCAACGGTCGGTCAACATGATGTTTTTGCTGTACTTGCCCAATTCTCATGTTCTGACACGGGAACGCTTGTGACCATGATATCAGCACCATCCAAGGGTCACCCATGGACGATCATCCGCAACCTACGCATGCCCACGCTTTTCTGACCCTTGGATCATCCTGGTGGTCATTGTTTCTTTGAGGCAGGATCATTTCTCCATCAGTTCTTGACAGAAGAGTGCCACCTCGCTACCAAGTTCCGCCGAAAAGAAGATCTGCGAGCATCGGTTCCAAATTCTGGAGGAAGCACCTGCGACTCTAGATGTGTAGTGTAGATAGCTCGAATATGCCATGGATGGCCTAGATTAATAGAGGGGACCCCCCCCCCAGTGAGCAATCACTAGGTTTATGGTACCAAGTCGACCCCTCTATTTTCCTCAAAAGGACACCACTGGAACACTCTGTCCAAAGTTGTTGGGACTTCGGTGTATCGTGCTCACGATGACCCAAGGCAGGCGGAGGACGGTCGCTGGGCCTTTGGTGTTAGAGGAGCGGATGTTCAGGGCAGGGAGACAGCCCCCATCCGCAACGAGAAGGTTAGGATGGGGCCCAGTTAGAACCTCAGGAGGTTTGTTGATCCACTGGCGTCCTTGTCCCTAGTAGTAAGGCCAGGAGCCCCGTTCGTAGCGTCCAAAGAAGTCCAAAGAGATTGAAGCTGAGAAGTTGTGCACACTCCACTCCGTTGGCTTGCCGGTAGTAAGCTGGTGTGTCCGGCCTGCGGAGACAGAGTGATGGGATGTGAAGTGACTGTGGTTTGACCTCGGTTGACCTACCTACCTAGAAGGTTAAGCTAGATGGTAGACCAGGTCCCCAGGTTTTGACCCATGCCCAAGTGGCAAGCTCTAGGGAAGAATGGGGAAGGTGTTTACAGGGGATGGTGGGGCTCAGTACGCTTGTTTGACGGTGGCACAGTCAGTAATAGTCAGTACGTAGACGACCGGTATGGAATCTGAATCAGCCGGCAGGTCGCTTGTTTTCACATACCTGGCATCAGTCACATGCTCGTGGGTATAGAAAGGAAAGTATGAAATACCTAGAGCCTAATTAAGCAATACTTTCTGCCCAACTTCATTCATTAGGCAGAACAGTTTTGCCCGTTTTCGCAAAGAACGCCTCAGCTGCGGCCTTGAGGGTCAAAAGCACCGAGGCACAATCACATGACATGCATTCTTACATGAAGGAGGCAGAACAAGAATTTGAATGGCAAAGTTTTTGAGCAAACAAATGCTTGCGTCCTGACGCTAGTCCCCAGTCTAAGTATTTGAAACTCATGTCACTCACTCCCCCCCAAAAGGCTACCATTCGTTTGTCCGCCCAACTACTGATTGTATTGGCCAGGGAACGGGTAAGGACACCCAAGCAACGGGCAAGAATGTTTAAGTGACGGAGGAACATCTACGCAACAGATATTATATACTAAATTCATATAATTCATGCAAAGGTGAAACATCAAGTGAATTCCTGATAAACAACTGTACTGATGGCCACCAAAACGACAAGAACACCTAGAGAGGACAAGAACGCCTGCAGGGGCCATAACACCTACGCACGGACAAAGGCGCCTTTACCCATAATAGGCAGAACTTTCTCTGCGCAAGAAGAGGTTCTAGATATTTTAGATGCCCTCTCAGAGGCCAACATACAGTATAACCAAACGAACAAAGGGCTTTTCTGCACGTTCGTGAGTTTCTGGGAGGGCACGACAAGGTGGAGCACTACACCGAACTGCACGAATTATATTCCATTTGTTTGGTCATGTTTCTTTCGGAAGGAAGCTCCCCCAATACTCCCAAAAGCCGGGCTTCTTTCACTGGGCTAGCCCTCTCGGTGCCCGCTCCAGGAAGGTCAGCAACGCCTGGATGACCGGGCCACATTGACCTGTTGAGCGAATCCACGCGGGGTACGCGGTACGCAGAGACTTGAAGATCTTGAGGAAAGGTACTTTGAGGCTGAGGACGTATCGGAACATTAACCAGTCTGAAAGCTTGATGAGTTTATAAAGTTGTTTTTACTATTATATATCATACTATATCCCTTAGACCGAAGACTACTTATTTTAGACCGACTGAAGTTAAGGAAGTTCCCTGCTTCAGGCCCTCTAAAGACATTTCAGCTTTTCCACATTCTTTCGAATCCACAGTGACTAGAGATGGCTGTGAACATCTGTGAACTGTGAACTGAATTAGATAACTAGATATGAGTTACCATCCGAGCCGGACTGTTGCCACAATGATCCAGCTGTATGAACATTGAGAGTCATGATGCCTTCGTGAACGATATTTCCAAGCCCGCGAACACCGAACACCGAGGGGAAAGCGTGAACATTGGGGAGCAAGTGAATATAGTCTATAGCCTGTCTAGTAAGAACACACTGGTTTGAGCCCAGGTTTTCATTCAACCACGAGGTGGCGACAACTTTAGGTCTCGTGCGCTTTTTGATTGGTGGAATCTCGATGTAAATGTCAACGCATGCCCGCGCTGATTCTGCGGGCGCTCTTGCAGAATTGCAAGGGCCAAGAATTGTTCCTACTTTTTTTGGGGTGGAGCGCGGCAAGGCTTCATTGTGAAGATAGGGAAAACCTAATCATTGTTTACGTGGAACGGCATTTTCAGGACACTCAGTTGCTTGAGGAGACAAAGTCATGCTCCACCCTTTATGCCCTTACTTCAATTGACTCCTGTGCCAAAGCTACGTTTCGCTCGGTTTCGCTGCAGATGCTCAGAGAACCCCAAGTCGGCCCCGGAGTCGGAGTTGCTTTCAAACAAATGATCAAGACAAGCAGTGCGGCTCAGGCGGGCACCTGGGTGTCCCACATGGTGTTGCTCGCCCACATGGCGAGAGGTCATCCAACTCATCCAATCACCTTCGAAGGATTGGCCAGGTGTGAGGATGACTTCATGACTCGGGCTTCTGTGGGCGTGACGCACTGGCTTCAACGCGATCTTAGGGCCTTAGGATCAGCCGTGCCAAGTGACTCATGGCCAAGCCATTCATCTCGGTCGAAAAGCTGTGGCAGCCTATGGAATTCCGAGGGGTTATGCCAGAAGACATATGCCTCTCCGATGCCCCCCATCCCTTTTGTTTCTTGATCCTTGGTAGCCCGCCCGCACGAACAAAGGTGAGCACTGGGGCCAAGCAAAGAGGATGGCAAAAAGGACCCACTAGAATGACATTTTGACATACAGTATTTTGACTGCTCTCCTCAGCCATTTCTTCTCAAGCGTGATGGGGTCCGAAAACACAATCAGCGGACACTTAACAAGTACATCGACGGATCAATCCATCAGACTGTAATTGATGCGCCTCTTAGCCACCGAAGCCACTTCCAAACATGTCCATCTCGAAACGCGTCGCCTGATCTGAACAGTCGATCCCCATCGTCGAAGGGAGCCAAACAAAATCCACGCCCTTTCCCGGCGCGTCGTCGACTGGTGACGCGAAGACCAACCCGTCATGGAGGATGTTGTCCACCGTGAAGCGCAACCAGAAGCCCACCAGCAGGAGCCCCTTGAAAGGAAGGGGACTCTTCCCTTTTGGAACCCACTGTTTCCAACCTTCTAGGAAGTTGGACGACCTTTCGAGAGAAATCGAGAACATGGCAGCAGGGTCACACTTGGTGCACCACATAGTGCAACCATCGCGTGGTGATGTGTCCATATTTCTCGATATTTCTCGATCATTTGCCACTTGTGCAGGAGCCAACAAGATCTTCAAACACGGGCGCGGAAGGCTGGAGAGAAGCATGATGCAAGGCCTGCCAGAGCAGGAAGCCGCACTTTTGATCTGTTTGGCGATGGGTGCACCACTTGCAGGTGGGCTAAGTGTCACCAAAGGTAGTGGTGGTTTGAAGCTTCGAGTGATTTCGGGGATCCTTCTTACCACGCTACACTGATTCTGTATGTTTTTTGTGGCCCTTGCTACAGACCTGTATCAGAATCATATGCATTACTGTGGACTCTGTACACTAAGTTACCTGCATTAGACCTTGGCTGCTGTTTCAACCTGATGTACCTCTCAATGACCCCATGCAGACTGTAAGGCGAAAGGTCCGCAACGCCATTGTTTAAACCGTCTTTGACCTGGCAGAGAATGGGCAATGCCTTGCTTCTCACCAGATTGCGTGGCTTTGTTAGACACGGTTTGCATAATCTGTTAGACACGGTCCCCCTGTGACTTTTGACCTTGACCGTTTGTTAGAAGACGGTTGTGTGCGGGCCCACTTCCTTGTGACGGATGTGGGCCCGCACGCACACCAAATTGAACGTTGCAAAGCCACATTTTGTGGTAACAGGTCACATTTGAGAGGGGGGCGATCGGATTGCCTTTGTCGTTTGCTTTGGGCAAGGTGTTCCGGGGTATAGATTCAGGACACAGCCAGTGATCTTGAATTTTTCACTGTTATCGATACTACCTCAAATTCACGACCTGCAAAGCCTGGGCTTTAGGTTTTCCAGTCCTCAAGCCTCTCCAACGCCGTCAGAGTGAAAAAACATAGATCTAATGTTCAGCCGTTGTCCTTCGCCAGGGGTTCTGCGCTGGCGCAGTGGTGGAAAAGCTTGCAGAATTTGCAACTTGGCAGTCGACTCTTCGCGGTGGACTTTTCGCACTCTAAAATCTCTAAAGGGATGATGATGCCGCCGGTCATTGGGGATGTGGAACGAACGAACCATAGATTTCAACGGTACTGTTGGATTTGTATGTCATGGTTTGTATATCTACACGATGAGGGGGCTCGGCTCGGGAGGCTCGGTCGAACCCGGTAAAGCAACCATTAAGAAATACTATGCCTGTGCGATTGGAGATGTTCATTTGGCTTCTGCTGTAGGTTCCTGATGCATCCGATTTTATCTCAGGGAGAGAGCCACCATTTCCATGCCAACATCCCCCTTTGACCACCTTGATCCCTGGATTCACTGAGCACACCGAAAGCTTCAGAAATTCCTTGTTGCTTTCACCACTGCTTGTTTGGCATTCAAGATGAGGTCCTGCAGGATTCACTTCGTTGGTCATTTTGCTGCCCCTGGCCCCCACTCCCAGACCACTCCAATCCCTCCAGTGGTCAGATTGACCCGCGTGCATGCTCGCGCTCGCGCGGTCACTGTGGCATGATGCTACGCTTCGTCCAGGCGTTCCCTCCCGTGGTTTACTCCTTCCGTGGTCCCAATCGACCTCTTCTTTTTCCGACGAATCTTTTCGAGGCCGAACTTGTGCTCGTTCGGAGACGGGTGTTTTTGCCATGGGAATGGCGGAGTTGCGGGGGTGGGGAACGTTTGTTTTTTGAGCTGGGCAGGGTTGTTCTGCAAATGTTCAGGCATCAAACACTGAAGGCACATTCTGAGATTGGTTGAAAGGGAAATAAGATTGGTTGGGAGGTTTCAGTGGGCTTAAAGAGTTTAAAGATGCCAATCAACAGAGGCCGACAATAAGTGTTTTTCTATTTATGCTTCACTTATTTTCCCATGGCTGGTGGCTGATCTACTTTCCATCCATGTGAAGAGGTGTGAATCTTACCATTGTCGTTTGGGTCGTTTGTGTTATCCTTTCTGCAATTAGGTTTTGGCCGCAACTCGGCAGTTTTGAGACTCGCTCGACTCGCCCTTTTTTTTTCTTCTACGCCAGGCTATATAGCCCCTGAGCAGATCATCGTCGTGGGCGGGTCAAAGCGTGGAGAGACCAACATATCCCAAACATTCCATGCATGGAATATTAATGAATACTTCCCTACTATGTTGACCCCTGTAGGTAAATATGACGTGCGTGGATGGTTTGGGTATTTGATACTGCTTTGGCTTGGCGCTTCAAATGCACCGATGGCCGCTGATGGCATGGCTTTCCTTTAGAAAACACCAACGAAACATCGTACATGGAAGGACGAGGCATCGTCACCGAGATGCGTGGGTGGCACAGGATTGATGTTGTTGTTTTGGTTCCCATCTCCGAGATGTATGGGACGTGTTGGAATAGAAGGACAAGTGTTTGGCAAAGGCGCGGAAGATGTATGCACCAGTCTCCGATGTTATGTTTTCTTCGAAGCCGAAGCCCTCAACGTTGCAGGTGATTACCTGTTGGAGGGGGGCCTAGTTGGGGCAGTCCAATTTTTTGGCTACAGCGAACATCAAGGCTTGATTTGCCAACATTATTCATGATTCCGTACGAAGACCCACGAAGTTTGTTCACGAAATGTGTGTGTGCGTGTGCGTGTGGGTGTGTGTGTGTGTTTTTTGGGGTGACTTGTGTCAAACCAGTGGTTTTAGATTGATTCAGTTAATACAGAAGTTAAATATCGTACCATTGCAAGGGCCGATACGGGTCGCCAGCAATGAGACTGTGAACACTACTGGGGGAATCGATTGAACACAGAAGACGGGTAGACCGACCATGCCCACCCGCACCCCATGAAAACACCTGGATGGTGCTGTTTTGCCTCAGCTGAACCTGTTATTCTACCAAAAGAAACTGGTTCACCAGTGGTGGGAAAACCCAAAAACAGCCCGCCAAAGACATCCAAAGGCATTCAAAAATCATGTGTGGTCAACTTTCTCCTAGGCATTTATTTCACGGTTTCCGTGAGACGAGGTCAACATGGCGATTCCCAAGGAGAAGTTCCCGTCAGCGTGTTTCAGCGCAGCGTGGTCCGATTGTTTCGGCTCATGAAGATGGACCGCCAGGCACACGCGTCCCTACTGTGGAGTTGGAAAAGGTCAGGTAGGGCAGCCTCCGCGGCCTAGCCTGAAGATGATAGAATATGATAGAATATAGACGTGGTTGCTACATGTGACAGCCAGTTCGGATTGATTCGATTCTATGCATGATGCATGTGTAGTAATTACATATACGTATTTCAGTTTGGTGTTTGACCCTCACGTTGGAATGAGCCGCCACATGATGTTGTTTTTTCTGGATTGGAGGCTTCATGCGGATTCAACCAGAAGCAGTTGGAACGTTGGACACCCTCCAGCCCCCAACCACATGGAATCTTGCGGAATCTACGGACACTCCGGAGAAAAAAAGAAGAGGAACCCGGGTTGAATGGCACCCTGCCTGACAGTCCTGTTGTCTACAAACTAGCACGTGCTTGTGTTCCAGCGTCCCCCCCATATAATTCCTCTCTTTTCCCTTTTGTTTTCGGGGTAAGAACAAAGTTAGACTACAGACTTGGGTAATTGGTGTTTAACTTGGGTAAGTTGGTAACAACAAAGTGTTTTTCCATGTTTTTCCGGGTGTCCATTTGCTCACAGACTTGGTCGTTCTCTCGGACTCCGACTGCCAGGCCGACGACTTCTCCGCAGACGAGTACGACGTGGACGGCTCCGGCGCCGTGGGCTGGTACGAGTTCGTGACGGTGTGGCGCAAGGCGGTGCCCAGGCGGCGATTTAGGTGGTGCAGTAGTGGATTTGGCAAGTCTAGTCTATTTGTATCTATCCGTGCTGTATCTTTTCTTTAGTCGATCTTGTTAGTCTACATTGTAGGAACTGCCTGGTTTGAAAGCTGCCTATTTTGTCCGGTTGACCCGGCCTGTTAGGTAAACGCCGCTCTTTTTTTACTAGGGTTTTCCAGTCATAGCTTCATTGCTTGATCCACTTGCTCAGAGTGAGGATGTCTCGGTGAAGTTGTCCTTGCCGGAGCGCTTCTTTGTGTCTTGGGCGGCAGTAGAACAGTGTCGTTGGGGGTGGCTCGAGCCCTCCTGTTGCTGTAGCTGGTCACCAGTGGTTCCTTTGACAAACTTCTTGATCTAGAAACCTAGATTGTAAAGGCATCCAGCAACCCACTCTAGACGGAGGCACTTTTGGGGCGTGCCGTCTACTTTGAAACCAGCTGTCAGGGCCCTACTTGTAGAGCATGATTAGAGGGGAACTCCATAGGCAATGATAGGCACCGGAGGGTACGAGGCTGGCCATCACCATCCAAAATTTGAACGGTCACGGTCAAGTAGATGATGTAAATTGGTGTTTGTATCATAGTCTGAGAAGTTGTGGAGTCTTTTTGTGGGAGGGAATGGCCTAGACTTGTCCCACCAAGTCTCTCCGAATGTTCCAGGTGCTCATGGAGGAACCGACCAGCTCCTTCGCCGGGGTGGTCGTCAGCCACTCGGAAAGACACGTCAGCACGCGAGATCACGCCTCAGTCGTCGTCAGGTGCGGAAAAACCATGAAAAACCGATGGGGTTCAAAAGAGGTGCGTTGGGGACTGAGAAGGGTTCCAAAACTTTGCTCAAATACGAGCGATGAAGGGGTCAAAGTCTTTTGAGATGAAGGGTTGAAAGACTTTGGGGGAGACAGATGCCCTGTTAATTGCAAAGTAAGGAAATTAAAGTGCCTGAAACCGGTTCAGACACATAGTGGTCGTTGAGCCAAATCAGAAGCTGGTTGACAGTTGAGTGGGACTAGTACCTGTCGTCTCCCTTTGTGCTAGCAAAGGACTGTCATAATAGGAGAACCTGGCTATACAAATTGCATCAAATTGCTATGGAAAGTTGGGGTTGATCTGGGGAAGCCTTTGTCCGACAAAAGCAGAAACACCACCCCGTTCTCCAACGTCCTTGTCAGTAGCCCAGCTCTTCACTTTCGTACATGAGGACGAAATAGGACGAATTGGACGATACAGTAACTTTCAGAATTTGTCAGAACAATATATATATATATATGGAATCGAACTGAACAGCATCAAGAATCATCAAAGTTCAGAGGCAAAGTAGGCCCCTTAAGGATCGTTTTTGCATGCTGTTGCGCCCTCTACGTTGAAACTGGCCTCCGACGACCCGTGCCGAAGCGAGGCGCGGCGTTGAACGTCCTCATTTTTCTTTCTTGCGCACCTTGGCCACGTCCAGCCGTCAAGAAGACGTGTGTTTGAACCTTGACATGTGAGAAGCCAACAAACTGGACCAAATGCTCCTTTGTACTTGGCTTCTTCAAGGGATCTTAAGGGTGACTTTAGATCCCGGCACCACACTGATGCAATCTGGGATCAAGCTTCTATTGCTTGCCCAAGAACCAACTGCTGCATGCAGAATCAGGGCCCCGTATGAATCTGTACTGGGGATTCTGCCAATACTAGCACTTGTCTTAAGTCGTTTGGTCTTGTAGAAAGTCGTCTGGATGCTGCGTTTACAATGGGGTTAGATGCAAGATGGCAATATAACCGGAAGAGTGTCAGGTCAACAACATTGTTTGGATGCTGCGTTTACATGCGGGTTAGGTGCAGGCAAGCTGTCAATATGATTGGAAGATAAGCTTTGGAATATCAGTTCAAACACCATTGTTTGGATGCTTCGTTTCCATGCAGGTTAGAGGGAAGGTGGCCAAAAAGTGATTTGAAGATAATCGACGTGGGTAAGTGGATACCTCGCCTCGCACGGCACTCGTGCCAGTGTAGCCATGTTTTAACGTAAAACAGGTGACTTTTCGCAAGCCGGGTGACTTTTGACTAATGCTGCGTTTACATGCGGCCGGGTGACTTTCTGCAAACCCGGGTGACTAAACCCCAGCGGTGGTATCAGGTGGGTGCGACCAGTCTCAGCACCAGGTGGGATTTATGATTGGCACCCTGCCCGACATGAAGACGGCCCCCTGCGAACGGTGCGAACCGGAGCAGTTGAGGCGGGAGCAGTTGAGTCTGGAATTGGTCTTGTTGTTCTACCAAAAGGTGTCTTTGTAGGTGACACCTTTGGAGTCTCAAACGCCATGAAGCAATGAAGCGTCCATGAAAACATCGAAGTACACAACATCCAACAATTGCCAGGAACATAAACTAATACATAGAAGACGTCAGTGTAACACGTCATTATATATTTATATTTATTGTTCATGCAGACATGCTTTAAAACACATCAACAAACATCAAATATATATATATATATATACATTTGGACATATAGAATTGTATAATATTCTATGTATATACTACTTTAGTTAAACATATTATTGTAAGGTGTTTTGTTTTGACTTGTCACTTATTTACAGCCATTGTTTTGAACAATCCCTCATGACCGGATGAACCCTGTATGCATTTGACACCATTGTCGACTATTGTCGTCACACATGTTTGTTCATGCTTCTTCTACATAAAACGGCTGGTGTAACAAGCACGATCATGACACTGTGTCTATGTAAGATATCCAATTTGGAGCATCAATTGGATCTGCCTCCACTGGATCTTCCCATCCTCACAGGGAGCTGAAGGTCTTCGAGTCCATTTGTGTGGGAGTCTTTGCCCTCGAGCCGCTCGGTGGCGAGAAGGCGCTGAGCTAGCGCTCAGCTCAACTTCCCCTTCGATCCATGGGGCGCCGTGGGGGTTCACCCAGCAATGCCTGGGTGCAAATGGTGCTCGTACACAAATATATACTGTACAAAAATGTGTTTGTTCAACCATTTTGGGCATGTTTTGCAGGAGCCGGGCCTTGTATAGTGGTATATAGTAATGCAGTGGTACTTGGACCCCGTGGGATGGACATACACAAACGGGCCTTCTTCACAGGACTACTAGCGGACCATTTTTTCAATATCCAAACAGCCAAAGGTGTATATAAACAGGACATGGGCGTCTCCCAATTCTCTCACACAAACATATTAGAATACATGTTCATTTGATGGGGACTCTCGCTCTTTTGAGACAGACAATGTTGCTCACCATCCGCTCCAATGGCTTGAGGTACATGGTGCGTGTGTGCACAGCTCCCTTCACACGATCCGAGCTTTTGCACTACGAGGAAGTTTTGGAGTTTGTCACCGATTACAAGGTCGGGAAGGAAGGTGCTCATTCCAAAGCGAGGGGGGCAAATCCAAATGACCAGTGTGAAGTGCAATTTTTTTGACCGTACGTGCTAGTACGTGCTACGTGCTACTACTTCCAGTGGCTTCCGGCGCAAGGGCCATCCAAGCAAACGTCCCGACCTGTTCCGCCGACTCCTCGGAGGAAAGCCGTTCCAGGGAGTTCGCACCGCTCCGGCAGACCGCATCATGTCATTTATATATATATACTGTATACACCTGGACCTTGAAGGGGTGTCCTGGCTGGAGGTCCCTTAGTGGTGTGGGGGCTTTCATTGGTGACCCTTTTGAAGGTGCTGATATATATAATATTCTGTTTCAAACCCAAGATCAAGCGAAATGCTTGGCCCTTGGGCACTACCTTGGGCAGTTCTCCTGCTACGCATGACTCAGAAGTGGATCCAGGCAGCGTGCTGGCGGGAGCCGGTGGGTTTGTTGGACAAGTTCCTCCATAGCTGGAATGGTCTCTGTTGGAGTGGGCCTTTTTCAAGCCACACCATCAGCCTAAAATGGGGTGTCTCCGCCAAACGTGAGGTCAGAACCTTAGAAGATCTAGAAGGGAAGGATAGTTTTCTGGGTGTCAGATAGTTTATTGTTCAACCTTTACTTTGGATGATTGAACCCCACTGGCTACGACTTTATCCAGTGAGTTGGCACCACCAACCAGTCTTTCATTTCGTCTAAACCGCTTCCTCCATGTGCCTCACACATCTCGGCCTCAGATGAGCTTTAATCCTTCGCCGTGGTTACGCCTCACCTACTTCGTGATCCAGCCCATGAATCTCATTGATCTTTTCGCCACTTGGCCCGAACAACCCTTCCAAAGCGTAAATGGATCAATTTTGCATGCTGGGGGTGGAGAAAATGTTGGCGGGATCATGAGGGATCCCCACAATGAGCTACACAGACAATGAGCTATACAGACGCTTCGTGCCAAACTGTGTTGCTCAGGTTCCTAGCGCAGTTGTTTCTATGTCGACAAACTTTTATACAGTTGCTCCTCCAAATCCTGCGGCAATTCGGCACCAGCTCAGATATGATGGCGGATTATTCCACCAGCCATCTGCACTATGTGAGGTCCCAGGTGGTATTTTCCTTTAACAGTTGTGAAATGTTTGCACGCAGCTGTCCAGCTTGAGCTCCAGTTTCTGCATCAAGGTTTCCCAAACCTCTTGATTGAAGCAGCAAGTGGTGGATCCCACACATGCAGCCCTTCATGTTATTTTTTGGAGTGATGTGTAGACCCCACAACCCGGAGAGCTGGTGTACACCCCAGAGCTCCCAGCGGCCCTTAAAAGGCGTGCGATGCAATGGTAGGTGGATAGAACCCTTGACCTCAAAAATCTGAGCACATCAAGAGTACCAGAGATATCCAACCCACTTCTTGTTGCACCAAGGGTCGACCGCTCGCAAACGCGTCGCTACCCGTTAAAGGTTTTCACTTCACAGGTGCCCTTCACTGAGTGAAGCGCTGGAAGAGGTCATTAGATGATAGAAGAACAAAACCCACCAAGATGCATTAACCGAAAGGTCGAAGTTCCAAGCGCGTTTGATGATTGATCAACCTGAAGGAAGGCCATATACCCAGAGTTAGTGGGAAAGAGTTGGCCCAGCCAATCCATGTAGGGAATATGACTGACACGAACACTCTACCGACACTGCAGCCAATCAATGAATGCGTAAATGTTTGGCCACGTGAATGGCTGAGGTCCGACTGAGATGGCTCAAGGTGGCTCACCCTACTAAAAAGAGATTGCAGAGGCTGACCTAATTTGGGGAAGTCCTGGATACCACATTCTTTGGACGAAGTCCTGGATATCCGATCAGCAATGGTCGAAGCGATTGAATTTCAGTCATGTTGGCTCATGGCGTTTCTCAGGTCATTATACCTTTCATCGTGGAGACCGCCTTACAAAGCAGCTTGGGCTCATCCGGCGCCCAGAGGATGGACGTCAGGAGTCAAGTCTGCTGTGACGGTTGATCACGGTAAATCCACCAGGGCTGGAGCAAAGTCAGCAGAGCGCTTCTAGCTCACCCCAGGCTTGCACACCCAAATCAGTCCTTGAACCCAGAAGAAACCAGGGACTCGATACTGGGTTTTGCATGCCACGGAGTGACGTGAGCCTTTCGGAAAGGGCGTCTTGCAGTCTTTCACCGTTTTGAGCCACATTTGCAAACCGGAGGGCTGCTTGACCAGAAGAATGTTAGAGACCAGGCTCCCATGCAAACATAAAAGATCATCATCGTGCACATTCCTCTCATCCTTCGAAGGTGCCACCGCCAAAAAAAACACATCCACAACGGTGGCGCCGACCGTCCCAAGGCGGTGGCTCCTCCAACTTCACCGTGCTCCGGGTCTTGCGCCTCACACGGCTTTTTCGACTGGTGAAGCTGGGGAAATCCTTCGAAGTCTTGCAGATCATTGGCCGGGTCTTCCACAAGTCCATCGTCGCCCGTTCCGCAGATCTCCGAACCGTCGAACCGAACCGTCGAACCGGCGAGGAGGATGGTGCGAGACCCGCGGCGCGAAATGGGGAGGAGACCGCGACCGAACGGACCAAATTGGTGGACCCGTTTTGGACGAAGACCGTGCATTGCAGCCGAAGAAAACCCGAAAATAAGTTTGCACTTGGAGGCACTTGGAGGCCTCAAGCTTTGTGATTGTTCTCATAAACTGAACCTGTCAGGTGTGGAACCTAGCTGTCTTTCCACGTGCATCTCAACTCGCTTTGCACCTCTTTTCACCGAGCTCTCAGAGTCGTCCTCGTGGCTCAGCAACCGAGTGGCTACCGAGCGCCCAGGCGATGTTTTGGGTCTTCGCGGTGAATTTCTCCCTGGCGATGTGCTTTTCCGCTGCCACGATTTACTTCGTGGAGGGTGGCGAATGGGATGAAGACGAGCTGAACTACATGCGCGTCGGCCACGAGCTGAGAAACAGTCGTTTCTGAAACTGACGTAACTCATGAACAGTCCCAGGGAGGTCGATGTTTGCATATGGGAAGAGTGATCGCACAGATTGGGGCAGTGAAGGTCAGAGGTGGATGGAGGTGGGTGATGCCAAACCTACTGGAGCAAACACTCCAGCTTAGTGGTGGTGTTCACGCAGTTTCACGCAGAACATTTGATTGTGCTCTAAGCGAAACACGTCCCCATACTGAAACCCCTGTCATAGAGGAAGTCCTCCTATTCCCAACATGTCCCAGCCACACCTGGGATGTTCTCTGCCTTGCTTCATAGATTCATAGATGTCAAGGATGTTCAGATATTAATTCCGGGTGGTTAGCAGTTAGCACGCTGCTGTGGTCTACCTTCAAGATAAGCCCTCAGAGCTTTCTAGAACCAGCAGAATCCAGTAGTGCTGCAAGTACTGCCAGCGAAAACGCATCCCTCCAAACAGCTGTGAGAAAGCTCCTGCCATCTCAGGATGCAGGATAATGGCCATAAGGATACCACCCAACCTTAGATAGCATTGGTAGAAAAGGGAATTATCGAAAGACCGATGGAAACACACCACATCAGTCTCAAAACATCTTTAAACTAGTGGTGCCCCTTTGGAAGCGGCATTTATTGCACACACACACACACACGCAATCGGACCTTGCTGAGGCCACGACGGGGTCCGATCACCATCACCGTTCCAGAGCATCCCGCATTCCTTTTGGTGGGTCATCGTCACCTTTACCACTGTAGGCCCGGGCACCTCAGACGTCTGAGCCAAAACGGTGAAGAAGAGGACTAAACTAAACGAAGCAGCTGCCCAAGGATAGTCTTGTTTAAGAGTTATGATTTTGTAAACTTCTGAGCTAGCATTCCAAGCCTAGGCTGGGCACGTGCGACAAATTCCAAGTAGCAAAGGAGTTGTTTTTTTCTTCTGACTGGAACAACTGCTCGAGCTTGATTCAATGGACGGATCAACTTTGGGCCTGCTGGACTCGCTCGGAAAACATCTCTCTGGCTGAGGCTACGGAGATGTTGTGCCTGAAACCGTGCTGGGAAAGATGATTGGCGCTAGTAGCATGATCGTGGCCAGGCATGGCAAATGGTCCGGTTCTGGAAGACTGACCTTAGTATCATTAGTTTTTAATCGCAGGGCAAAGGAGGCGAATTCTGACGATGTGAATGAGCACCGGTATTCTGTGAGGGCAACTCTCTGGTTGTTGTACCTTGTGGCAAATACACTGAGATTTGCTAACCCGCTTGGACTTTATAGACACTTGCTAAGCAGCACTTCTAGCAGAGCCATTGCATCGTTCACCCAGAACCGTTCTCATCCGAAGCGCTAGGAATTCGTCATGAAGGAAAGGGGAAATCAAGTTGCTCTTCTAAACCCTTCGGCTGCCAGAGACACCTGGTCGGCCTTGGTTGGAATCCCTTTGACACACCAAGAATTGAACATGCCGAGATATGCCGGGACATGCTGAGGGGGTCGAAGTACCCTCAATCACGCATGCACCCTTGAACACTTCCCACACTATTGAAAGTGTCCATTACGAGTAAAAAGGGGCCTTTTTCCCTGTTTGTCTACTGGATGAATAACTATATGGCTACTACATTCCTTTACGAACAGGCTGGCTAAGGCGGTCTCCGGTCTCAAAGCGCACAAGTTAAGCGACCGCCTTGAAAGAGAAAGATTGAACTTCGCCAACCTGGCAGACTTCTTTTTCTCTTCTGAACTCGCTCCATCTGGAAATCTCTCGCTCAATCTCTCCCAGGTCGGCATCATGGTCCTGGCCTTGCCGATCTCAGTGATCTCGACCACCTTTGGGGATGTGTGGCACGAGTGGAAGGTACGCTGACACAACGGGTCGCCCACACGTGGCCCGGGAAGTTTGGAAAAGGAACAATCCAACAGGGCTGACTTCAGCAACAGGATTAACAGGCTTTGTTGGATGTATTGGGATTTCAACCGATTTCACCCGCTTCGTGGGCTCTTCCACCCCTCGCCCCTGACTCAGAGACAACGCACCGGTTCTATTCCTGTCGGTGTCGGAGACGCGACGCAGGAAGAGCTGCGATTGGACGCCCAGTCAAGAGAGGAAGATATGAAGAGCGTGGAGCTGGCACTTCAGGTCATTCAAAACCGCACCTTCATGCATGTCGAGACTTCCCTGCAGAGTTCTTGACTGTTCTTCCTTTGTGTTTCCTCCCTTTGGGTCCTTTCGGTGGGTTGCGAGTAGGTATCCCGATTGAGGGTTCTTCATGTTCATCTGTTTGCCCACCCCTTTGACACTTCGCATGCTTAACAGGTGTGGGTGGCTGCACGTGTTTGTTGCTGAACTTGTCGTGCCTAGGAAGTCTATGACCACTTCGAACGATACACGCCTGAGTTGCTGGGGTCATGTGAGTGGCGCTCCCTGCCCATCGATAAGCACGAGAAGGTGGAATCTCCGGACGAAGCACACTTCTTGTCTTCGATGCCCGGCACAAGGAGGGTGTGGTAGCTGCGGTGAAGACCTAGAAGGTTTAGTAACCTCGCCCTGGCTATAATATGCTATAATGGTTTTCTTGGATCCAACCACAGGTAGTTGGACCCTCCAATGCCACCTCAAACATCTCCAAGCACCCTTGGATAGGCTCCTGGTATGTGCGCTTTAGGGATTGATGGGAGGAAACATTAAAACCCTTCCAGCTGGTTCAGGATTCCACTAGACACCTTCATGCCAATATCAGATCCCAAACGCTGCCAAAAGCTCTATGTATGGCAATGTATGGCATATTTACATACATGAACACCTGAAATCACCTTGATGATCCCCCTTGCCACCGACAATCTAAAATGGATGTGGTCGACGACCACGTTTTCTCCCTTTTTATAGTTTTACAAACTGCTAATGTTGTTATACGATGAGTCTTATGTAAAATGGATGTCACCGACAAAGCCCTGGGCTGAGCCAAACTATAGCTTTGGCTATTCAGACATGTTTGTGCCAACCTTTATTTAGCTCAACCCATGTTATATTGCTTTTCCAACGGTCATTTCCGGATATTTCCGGCGCTGTCACTTTCTTGAAACCAGGACTTCTAGATCCATTTTGGTTTTAGATTACTTTGACGAGTATGGCCTTATTTAAACACATGTTTCAATTAAAATGCCAATAAATACCTTTGGTTTGTGAAAGTCATTTTAGATCATTTAAAGTGGGGTATAGGTATAAATATATATATATATTTTTTTTTTGCTTCGCAAGGGCGCCCTTCAAATCCCAATGCCTGCTGATTGCTCTCCTCGTGGTTCCGAAGAAAAGAAACCAACGCTTTCCAGTGTCCTTCGAACATCCCACAGTGACGAAGAAACACGTACCATATCCGTTTCATGCTGGTGGTTTGTTGATGTTCTTGAAACACGACGGGATAAATTTGATATAAAACCGTATATATATATACGTATAACATATATATATATAAATAGGTTTAGTACGCTTCGCAGTTCCAAACTGTCACCAACCCCCTGTGCCCCTGTGCCACTGTTGGGAGCGGTCTTCTCCGGTGGGACCGCAAATGCGCCGCACGAAAGCCCCCGAGGAACGAAGAGAAGCCGCTGGCGCCGTGGATTCAAAGGGGCAGGGCTAAGAGTCTAAGAGGAAGCTGCTTAATTCGTGGTGACCACATGCGAAGGCCCACAGCAGATCCTGGAATGATTCCAGAAGATCCTCATATCAAGACTGTAGGCCAACACTGACCGTTGAAGCTATATAACTTCTCAGTTTTGGGCCCAATGTAATGTTTTCAGGAGCGAACTGCCTTTACAACTTCTGGGGTCTTTGCTGAATGGTTTGCGACCACAAGGTGTTTTGGGACGTGACACTGGACATGACTGACTGAAGTGACCAGGTTTGAGGCTTTGGGCTCAAGCCAACCGAACCGTGACTCGAAACCTCTCCGGTTCACGGGCATCCCATGATGTTTCGGCCGTGGCTGCTCATAGCGGTGGCGGCCGCCACAGGTAGCCTGCCATGGAATCGCTGGCAGCTGGTTGATCGCTTTGAACAATGTGACGCAAAGGATGCAACAACTTGTTCAAACCTCTTTGACCTGGCGGAAGGCCTTCTATAATTGCTTGGACAAGCACGTGTACTGGTGGGCACCAACCACAAAGCTGGGAGCCAGTTGCTGCGCAATACGATGCACTGGGTGTTTGACATCTTGGGTGCGACGGACTCATGCCAGTATGGATTTGGTGTCGAGCCGATCACTTCAAAGCCTGGTTACAGGGAAGACTGCACCTTTCACGAGACGCCGATCCGTTTTCACAACTACATCAATGGCGAAGATATCCTCAGGTTACGAAAGGATGCCGCCTTCAAAGGTGGTTTGCGTGGTGTGATGATCATTCGTGATCCTTTTGAAATGGTGGCCTCAGCCTACTGCTATCACCACCGCGGGGCCGAGCTTGGCACGGGGTTGGCCCCCGCGAATATCACGGAAATTGGACCTGAAGAGGGAGTGCCTATCATGGCTGGGACCATGCTGCAGGTGGTGCGCAGGATGACCAGCGCCTATGCGGTCGCAAAGCCGGAGGTGCTCGCAGTGCGTTTCGAGAAGTTGACCAAGAGCTCTCAGGACTTTGATAATACGGTCAGAGAAATCTTGACGTTTTTGTTCAGGAATGAGATTACAGAGAAGCAGACGCTTCAGATTCTAAATGCAACTGCGGTGGAAGGCGTGAACAGAGGTTTGCAGGGTTTCTCTGAATTGCCAGGGGCCAACCAGGGATACAACCACACAAATGACGAGGAGGACATGGCTGTGGCAAGAAAAGCCCTGCACTTGATACCAGACAACATTTTGGCGGAGTACCAGCAGCATCGGAAATTTCTTGGCTACGGCTCGTAGCAGTTCACCCACCTACCAGCAGCATCAGAAAGTTCTTGGCTACAGCGCGTAGCAGTTCACCCAGCGTAAACGCTGCAGAGGTCAAAAGGCTTGCCATCCGTCGGTCCATCCGGGTTTGCAGTGGCGCGTGGAACACATCACGTCGGACGTGGTAAAAATAGCGACTTCCCCTCCATCCCCGCAAAAATAGGGACTTCCCCTTGGCTATGCCTGATGCGTGAAGACTGCAAACATGTTAAAGACTTGATTTGCCAGGTGGTCGTTGATGGTGGGGTGATCCTATAGTGTTCATTACATGTTGTTACATACACATATGATATAGCTATAGACTATATATATATATAT